TTTGCACCATGCATGAGGCTCTGGCGAGGTGAAGGGAGGAAGTTCCTGCTTTGCTGGGCTGCAGCATTTGAGGCTTGCCCCAGGCACCCCTGGAAGGGGAGCTCAGCACCTGGGAGCATCCTGCTGGTGGCTGAGACATCAGAACAGCCGTGGGTGTGAGAGAAGTCCCTTGGAGGGAGTAAGTCACCAGTTCCATTGGGAAACCATCCCCAGAATGTCATCTCCAGTGGATTAAAATAGGAATTTGCCTGCCCCAGCTGTGAGACACAGAAATTCACAGTCCCACTGACTGTACACCCCCCTCAGTTGTGCCCACAGGGAATTCACAGAGCTTTTCCCCAGTTCTCCTCCTCACAGGGACAGGGGAGCAGGCTCTGCACTGCCTGTGATCCACACCAGGGCCACGCTCAGGGCACGCAGCGCTGCTGTGCTGGACCTCCCAGCAAGGCCAGAGCCCTGACCTTGGTGTCCCACCAGAGTCATGAGTCAGGAGGCAGCTACTGGGATCTCCCACCCCACAGCCCATGGCTCTGGACAGCACGGGCTGTGTCTGGCCCTTCCCTCTACTCTGCGTGGGACAGAGGAGGTCCCTGAGTGCCTTGAGCTCCTGCCAGCACAGCCCACTTGACCTGAGCACTGTGCTGCAGCCCCACAGAGAGCATCACCCCTCCCTCTGACCTCCCTCAAACCAGCCTCAGAGCCTGAGCCTTTAACTCTTCCTTCACCTGCTCTGATCCCCTCTGCCCTCCTGGAGCTGATGGAGAGGCTGCTGAAGGAGTGACAGGAGTGACAATCTGCCCAGAGCCGGGCAGTCAGGACAAATGCCAGTGCAGCCAGGGTCCCTGCAGGCTGGAGCACACGGGGAGGAGCAGGCAGGGCCATGGGACACGGGACATGGGACACAGGACAAGGGACATGGGCCATGGACAGCCTCCAGGGCAGTGCCCGGCTGTGGCAGCTCTCCACACTCACTGCACATCCCTGCTCGGTAAACACAACAGCCAGAGTTTCACAATCAAATATTTATGCTAGTAAAAAACATTTTACATAATCTTTAAACAGCTATGTCATCTCCCTTATATTCATTCTCTGATCTCCCTGTTTTCAGTCGGGATTGGAGAATTTAGTGTATTTACAAAGAAATAAATATTATGGTGAAAACATCAAGCAGCTTAATAGTAGCTTTAGCAAAGTGCAGAAGTATTTTTGTGTTCATGTTGTCAATTGCATAATATCTTCTGGACCTTCATAAATTGAGGAACCTTGCATGGGTGCTTGCAGCACTGTGATAAATAGTTCACAGCTCCAATTCAAGCAAGGCTGGCTGCTGGCAGAACAGGAAGGGCTCATGACATCTCTGCCATAAACTTCAGCCCTGAAGATCTGTGGGGAGATAAGGAGGGGACAGACCACTTAAAATCTGGCAGACAGTGGCAAATTCAGGGTATTTCAGAGTATTTCAGGGTATTTCAGGATATTTCAGGGTGTTTCAGGATATTTCAGGGTATTTCAGGGTATTCCAGGGTATTTCCAGCCCTCCAGCTCTGTGGGGAGATAAGGAGGGGACAGACCACTTAAAATCTGGCAGACAGTGGCAAATTCAGGGTATTTCAGAGTATTTCAGGGTATTTCAGGCTATTTCAGAGTATTTCAGGGCATTTCAGGGTATTTCAGGGTATTTCAGGGTATTCCAGGGGATTTCAGGGTATTTCAGGGTATTCCAGGGGATTTCAGGGTATTTCAGGGTATTCCAGGGTATTTCAGGGTATTTCAGAGTATTTCAGGGTATTTCAGGCTATTTCAGAGTATTTCAGGGCATTTCAGGGTATTTCAGGGTATTTCAGGGCATTTCAGGGCATTTCAGGTTATTCCAGGGTATTTCAGGGTATTCAGCCTTCAGTGGAATGCTGCTGTGATGGTGCTTAGCAGGTGGGACTGGACCACCCCTGCTCCCAGCTCCCTGACCATGCTCTGGGCATGTCCTGGGCTAGGACACAGCCAGGATCTTTCTGAGCTAGTCCCTAGAGGCCAGCTCTGCTTCACAGTGGCAGAGGCACTGCTGCCTCACCAGCTCCAGCTCAGAAAGCCTCTGTTTGTCCCAGGTCGTGGAGAGGAATATCTTGACTGTTTGCCATGTGAAAGCCCCAGCTCTTTTCTGTGCAATTTACCCACAGGTGAGACCCCCAGGCCTCAGGCATGCCAAGAGAAGATAATTTCTCTCAGGTTCCTGAAGGCCATGAGGAGCTGGAGCTTTGCTGGTGCAGTCTCAGAGCAGGAGGTTCATGTCTGCCCTGAATTCAGATCCACTAATGGTCAGTTCAGTGAAAATTCCTTCTCAGGGAAAGATTTCTTCTTCCATTACCACAATGATGACATCCTGGCTGTAGGCCTCTTCAAAGGATTGAGTTCCTTGTGAGTCTTGGCTGCTGGTTTCCCTGTGCCCTTGTCTACTGCTCCATACTCTGTACTGGGTATGAATGGAGGAATGCACTCCTCCTGAGCAACATATTTGTAAAACCAACTTTTTCCAGCCTTCCCACCCCTTCAGGGCTCAGAGTTATGCCAGCCTGGGGACATTGAGCATGGAGCTGTGTGCCAGTACAGCTGTCCCTCCCCAGGGGACCTTGGACACCAACAGCTGCACAAGCACACAGCAAATTATCACTGCTCTGCACACGGGATGGGGGAGTCAGGGCTGGGGGCTCAGACCATCAGATCTGCCTTTCCAAAACATGCTGGGAGGATTCAAGAAATAAGGCCATGGCAAGTGGGGTCTTTTCCCAATGGAGCTGCCAGGTGCAAATCAAAAATCAAAATCAAAAGAAATCAAAGGCAAAGCAGTCTCATTCCCACAGGAGAGGACAATCTGAGCAGACATGGCTGGCAGAACACCAGGTTTGGGGAAACTCCCCTTCTCTGGCACAGACATGTCACACACTGACCCCTCCAAGTCCCCACAGGGCTTTCACTGGAACTTCAGCTCAATTTGTTCTTTTTCCCATGGTGGCAAATCTACATACAAACAAACAATCTGCTTTAAAATAATTCAGTCCCATAAACAATAGGGTGTGTTGGAAGATTAGAAGGGATGGCTTCCTGGGATCTGGTGAGCAACTCAGAGCTGATATCCTTATGACTCTGGGGTGTGACTTCTCAGTTCAAAGGAATTCCCTGCCATGACTAATTTATTCTGGCATTTAAGGCTCAATTCCACTCAGTGCAGTCGAGATGACCTCGTTTTCAAGGGAACAGGGAATGGGAATGGGAATGGAAATGGGAATGGGAATGGGAATGGGAATGGGAAGCAGCCAAGGTCTCTGCAGGGACCTGTGTGCCTGTGTCACCTTCCAGAGAAAGGTGGTGCTGAGCCCTTTTCAGAGCTGAACAGTAGTGCAGACACAGCCAAGACACCAGGGCTGGGCAATGTCAGCTCTGGAAACTCATGAGTTTGTGGGAGGATAAATATTTCTGGGCTACCTAAAGCAGGCAGCAGCCAGGCAAATGTCTCAGTGTCTGTGGTGGCATCTCAGCCCTGTCCCTGCCTCTGAGGTTTAGGAGAGACAACTTTCCTGTTTCCTGAGGACACCAAGAGAGTGGCAGGGCTGACTCTCACAAAAGGACCATCACAGGGAAACACCAGCTCAGGACTGTGAGTTCAGCATTTGAGCAATTTACTGAGATGAGTCAACAAATTAGAGCTTGTTATAGGCGGTGTCACCTCCTAAGAAAGATGTGTCTGCATCCCCCACTGGTATCCCAGGAAAAGGAAAAGGAAAAGGAAAAGGAAAAGGAAAAGGAAAAGGAAAAGGAAAAGGAAAAGGAAAAGGAAAAGGAAAAGGAAAAGGAAAAGGAAAAGGAAAAGGAAAAGGTTCTGTGCTTCTATCCCATGGACTACATGAGGGTGAGACACCCCATGATTTCTCTGCTGCATTGGGACTCTGATGAATCAGAGCCTCTGGGGAGATGAGTGTAGAAGCCCTGAAATTCCTATCCCCAACCCGAACTGTTCAGAGTACTTCCCAGAAATCATGGGATTAAAATAAAGTAAAATTAAAAATTAAAAAAAAAATCCCAACAAAACTTCAAACCAGTCCTGAAGTATTTTAATGACCTAGAGGGAATTTAGGCAGCTTCTAGGTGAGCCCCACACATCGGGGAAGCTGAGATCTGTCCTTGACTTAGCTTGGCTTGTGCTACTTGCATTACACAGTAAGAGGTGCCAGCAGATCACCCACTCAAGTGAACCAGATGTGGGCTTGGGGAAGGGGAGCCTCACAGGGTCTGTGTCTCTTTATTTTGTGTGTTTGCAATCTGCTCCTCTCCTCTGAGAGCATGTTTGCTGTGTGGGGAGGGACCCTCCACTACAACAGCATCCTCAGCCTCCGTGGGACCGCTGGCACAGGGAACCTGGAGCCAAGGCTCAGCCCTGCCTGACATGTCCTGTGTCTGTGTGCCAAGGCTCAGCTCTGCCTCACAAATCCCGTGTCTGTGTGCTCTGTGTGCCCATGTCTCGTGTCCCTGTGCCCAGGCTCAGCCCTGCCTGGCATGTCCCGTAGCCTCCCTGTGCCACACAGAGGGCACCATCCGGGAGCATCTCAGGTGGATAATCCCTGGGTAAAGGAGCGCGCAGAGCAGCTCGGCTCTGGGCACACCTGTGCGACACCAGGGACACCCAGGTGACACCTGAGCAGCCCCGTGCCCACCCCTGACCCGTGCGGGCAGTCCTGTGCGCCCCTGGCCGGGAGCGCATCCAAGGCAGCGCTCAGGTGGAACGACCTTCCCAAAGCCATCCTCTGGCCCCAGCCCCTCCCTCACCCTCGGGAACTGAGCCCCCCAGCCCCAGAGAGGCGCGGGACCCGTGTCCCACCACGCTGCAAAGAGTTAAGCCCTGGCTCTGTTGATATTTCCAGCGGCTCCCAAAGCCGGCGGAGACGGGGAGCGCCCGGATTGGCTGCGTACGGCCGGTAGTAATTAGGATCAGATATCAAACTTCTGTCTTTGCTAAGACCCTTTCCGATAGTCGCTGCTCCCCGCTAGACGATGACATCAGCCAGGACACCCAGCTGCTGGTAGTAAACTCGGGCGGGAGGAGGCTCCCGCTGGCTCCACGTTAATTAGTCCAGCACAGCACAGGGGGAGCAGTCGGTGTCTGTGCAGGGTCACTGCTGGATGGGACCAAATCTTACAAAGCCACTTGCTGCTCCTTGCCAGCCGGCTGTAAAAGCACCCCGAGCGTCCAGGAGAGCTGGATGAATCCTGAGCCACGGTTTGGTCGGCTTTTCCCTGTGGAGGAAGTTAATGGTTTAAGTGAGGGGCGGCTGGATCTGGTGCCCGAGTCACCATGACTCTCCTGGGGTCTGAGCACTCCTTGCTGATTCGGAGCAAGTTCAGATCAGGTAGGGAAAACCTTGAGATTTCTCTTAAAACTTCTCTCTCTGTCAAGCCGTAAGCACAGACTGTTTTGCATTAAATGTTCGGAAGCAGCATGTGAGCAAAAGACTCGAGGGGTTGTCACGGCTTTGCTCTTACAGAGGCTGTTCCACAAGTGGAGAGACTCATCTTCCTTCCTCCCTCTTGCTTTTTTTCCTCCTGGTTTTTCACTGTCTTTGATTTATGTCTGCGGTTTATTTCGGTAAAGCTGCAGCTCCCGGTTCTCCTGCTCTGGCCCTGCTGAGAAGGCTTTGGGCAGGAAGCCAAAAGGGCATCTGGGATAAACAAGGTGCCTAATGCTGTCCGTATATTCCAGGTGCTCTTGTGGGTCTGGGTGGGATAACCACGGAAAGGACGGGCCTGACACCCTCTCTGACAGGCAGGCAGCCGAGCCTGTTCCGTTAACTTGTGACTAATTGGAGAAAAATGAATTTGAAGAAATGCGTCATTTTTAGAAGTAAAAATAACAAATGGAACATGAAAAGTATTTAAAGTGACATCATCAGAGAAATAAAACCAGAGGCGCACAATTGATTGCCGCTCGCGGAGGGCTTGCAGTAAAACATGCCTCCAGCTCGTGAGGCAGGGGAAGCACCAGGCAGGGGCTTCTCCAGGGACAGGCACTGAGTGAAGGTGAGTGAAGGTGAACTATGGGACAGCCGCTTCTAGAGCAGCCCCTCTGCTGGATGTTCATGCCTTTAGTCACTGGCTGCATCTACAGTAAGTATGCTCTCCTTGGGACCGGGTGTCTTGACTTGTTGTTTTGTAAACTTCAACAGTAACGCCAAAAAAAACAAAAAAAAATTGTTCTCAAGGTGCTTTCTCTGACCTTCCCAGAGGTGAAGTCCTCCCTGGGAATATTATCTGTGAGGATGTGCAGATAAATCAGCTGCGTGTGCTGTACGGATGCTTTAAATGCGGACAGGGCAGTCACGTTGGAGCATGCACCCGCTCTGGCATGTCACCCACGCCGTGTGTGTTTCTGCCTCCTTACTCATTGTAGATAATGAAATGGGAGATTTATGGCACTGATGGGAGACATGAGTGCTGTTATCGGGATCTCTTAGATAGCTGGGTGGTCAACTTAAACTTTGTTTTCTCAGCAAATACAAAGTTGGCAATTGGTTGAAAACCCCAGAGTGTGTGTGCAAACACAAGTGTCCTAGTCTGGCTGAATTATACAAAGCCTTGGTCCAGGTCTTTGGTGTGGTTTCCATATCGCTCTGATCTTACATTTCATTAGATTAAGTCATTCCTTAAATTTTGTTGGTATATTATGGTACACTGCTGTTCATTTGAAAAAAATCTCAGTCTGTAACAATTCCTCCAGCATGTACAAAGCAACACTGCCACCTCCCTGAGGAGCGGAGGACGGGCTGTGCATTGTCCCTGCATTCTTTTCAAATGAACCAGGATTGTTTTTAAGGCTCATTTCTGGTTTATTTGTAAGCTGGCTTTATTATGGAACCAACAGCGGGCTCTCTAAACATATTTTTCAAATGATTCTCCAGGAAAAGTAAACTTTGTGGGTCTTTGCATCCATAAATTCTCGTGCCTTTCAGCATTTCTAGGACAGTTAATTTGTGGGGCATTCTTTGGTTCATGATTTATTCCCACAACTGCTATCCCTTGCTATGGCCTGGTGAAAGGCAGCCTTCCCATTTGACATGGATTTCTCTGCCTGTTGATTTTGTTGGAGCTGGGCTCCCCAACATCCCAAATGAGTGTCTGCACCTCGCTGTCCCCAAGGCTGTGACCGCTGGTAACGTGGGACATGGCCATGGCACAGCTCTGGTTGTCACAGAGTGTGATGAGGGAGGAGATCAGGATGCTGAGAAACCCAAATAAGTCAATAAAGCAGCTTTCAGTCTGTGCTGGATTTTTAATAACACGGGAAACAGAGAAGAAAAAGCTAATATTTAATGGAATATCTTTATTTGCAAAGCCTCTGTGGCGCAGTTTCCCGTGGTGTCCCTGCTCTGTGTGCAGGCTTTGTCAGCTGTAAAGCCCCACAGGGATGGCAGGAGGTGCACAGCTCTGATTTACCATCCTCCACTCGCTTGGAAGAGGGCTGAACACCCCAAACAGCCCATGAGCTGTGCCCCACGCTGTCTTGCATGGCTCAGGGGCTGTGACAGGGGCCAGCAGCAGTTCCAGAGCTGTGCAGCTTGCACAGAGGCAGGAGGGATCACCCCAAAAATGCCAAGCCCCAAGGAGCCCCGCTGAGCCGTGCTCCATCGCGGTGGGAACGCTCCTCGGCCAGCAGGTGTGAGGCTCTGTTTGCTCCCCAGGTTTGGGAAGGATTAGCTGTGCTCCATGACTCATGATGAGCCTGAATCCCTTTTGAAGGATTCCAGGCCAATATTAAAGAGGGCGGAAGTAAATCTTAATAACTAAACTTTTGCTGTCTCTCGCTGGCCCGCGCACGCTGAGCAGCTGAAGGAGTTATGTGAGTGTGTTTAGGGGAGCTGGAGATACATCACTTGATGTTTCCTCCTCCCAGAATCCCTTTGATCCCTGTGTTATGCACCAGGCAGAAAGTGGAGCGAGGAGGTGGCAGCTAGAAGATGGTGGCAGTGGTGTGGCTCCAGGGTCAGCTCTCCTGTCCCTCACTTCCATCCAGCAGCATCAGCAGCAAGCAGAAGTGTGTTTATGCAGGAAAGGCTGCTGGGATGGTGGCTGTGGCTTTTCTCAGTGTGCCCAGCCATCATCCCTTGAGTGCCACAGTGGTTTCTGCTGTTCTTGTCTCTCCAGTGGTCCCAGTGAAGGACCAGCAGAGCTGTGCCATGAGGAGGGCAGTGGCTATCCCAGTGTCAGGCATTGAACCGCTCCAGAGGAGAGAGAAAATCACCACCACGCTGCAGTCCTGCAGGGTCCTGCTTCCCTTCCTCAAGGAGCTGTGTGCCTCTTTATTTTGTCTGTTTGGCCAAAGATAAATATTCTGATCCGAGGTCATCCTGACAAATTTTGCAGGAATTTGCAGGATGATTCTTCAAGTCTGCCATGCTGTCCCATACGATCCAACTGTCAATGGGATTGCACTAAATCAACAGGACATGGAGGTGCTGTTCCAGAAACACATTTAACTCTTCCCAGAGATGATCATTTATGGGATCTCTTGCTCTGAGTACAAACCAATTGTCCTCCAGCAGTGGAGAAGCTTTGGCATCAGGCAAAGCAAACAAAGCTGACAAATGCAGATCCAACCTTAGCCCTGACCTTTTTTTGCAGCTTACAAGACCAACATCTGCCTAACTTCAGTGGTAATCCAGATAATTGGTGAGAAGTGAAAGTTTAACATTATAAATAAGGCTCTGCATGGCTTGGCATGGCGTACCAAGACCTAATTGTGTACACATGGGTGTGGGTTTGCAGAGAAGAACTTGCCTGGCTCCATGGAGGAAAGAATTCCTGCTTACACATAGGGCTTGAATGAAACTGAGATGGGAGAGGAATTTATTCTGTCTGCCTCCGGTGGCCAGAGCGATTTGGACTGAAATCAGCAGGTCAATAAAGGCAGAAGAGAATAGGTCTTGGTAGGGTGTTTGGCCAGGCGTTTTGGCAGAGCCTTTATTTTGATTTTCCTGGTGTCCAAAGATAAAGCATGCGCCTGTGTTTCCTCTCAGATCATGAACTCATGCAGGTCACAGTCAGTGTGTGTGTGTGTGATCAAACCATGGCCTTGCTGCAGCTGATGAGACAGTTTTGTGAAGTTTTTGTAAAACCCTGACTTGATGTAAATCAGTTTGTGCTTGGTTCCATTTTTCTGGCATCTTATCCCTCAGTGTTTTAATGGGCAGTCAGGTTTCTTTGTCAGTCAAGCATGTGTTGTAGCACAGACCAAAACCCACTGTGCTTCAGGGGACATTGTCTGGGCTGCTCATGGGGGTGCTGAAGGGGTGACTCCAAGGGGAGAGCCTACTCAGGACCATGGTGAGGTTTGGGTTGCACATCATGATGGATCCTGAGGGATTTCACAGCTGGTTGTGCCCATTTGGTGGTCTGGGCTCCTTGCTAGCCAGCTGTGCTAGCCTAGTGTCTCTTCCAAGGTACCTGAAGACCTGGATTTGGGGTTAGAAATGTACTTCTCACCCATGTAGAGATTTTTCAGTGTAGTCTCCCAGCTAACACACACATCTGTAGCACATCTGTCTGTTAGAAGTAAAATGCTCCCAGCTCTGAAGTGACATCACAGGCAGATAAAGCAGTGCCCACCTGGGAAAGGACTGACCAGAGATGTCCAGGCTGTTCTGGCTGAGCAGTGCCATTTCCAGCTTCATCTCTGCTCACACAGGTCCACAGAGGTCATGTGGACTCCTCCAGCCCTGGTTTTAAGCACTTTAAGGGAAAGGTGCAAGCCCTAAGCTGGGATCTGCCAAGCTGCAGCACTGCCTCAGAGGCTGCTTCCCTCTTATGCAGGGATGTTCAGCATTTTTGTCTGACACTGTTCACTACGGTTCTTCAGATGGTTTGAAACAGGTATTGGAAGTCCACAGAAATATTTGGGAGTCAAGTCATGCATCCTACTGCATGAGGAGATCCAGACTAGGATGAATATTTGGTGGCTGAAGTTTCAGCTGTTGAGTGTGTGCTGCTCCTGGAAGTGGCTAGTACTAGTATTGGCCTGTCTTCACATTATTTGACAGCATAAAATTTTCCTCCTTGCCCTGTAGCTTAAGGATGGGCCAGACTTGAGGAGATTTCTAAGCTCAGCATGGCCCATGATGAACTCCCTGCCCAGGGGAGGCGACCTGTCCATGGAACTGCTCAGCTCCCACACCAGAGCACTGGGTGGTGACATTGCTGGGTCACAGCCTTTCTACCCCAGCACAAAAACCAAACTGGAGACCTTTTCTCCTCCTTCATGGAGGGGCTTGACAGCTGGCCTGCAAGCAAAGCTGAGTTAAAAGAAGAAATAACAATGATTTTCGAGTGTATCCATAGCAAGGAAGAAGACAAGGCCGTCAGCATGGAAACAGATTATGAACATTTTTGTAAGCTAGGCTACATGCATAAGTAGATGTGTATTCATGCCTTATTAAAAGCTTTTGCCAATGATACTGATGCTAATTGCTTTGCACCAATGAATAGAATAGGTTATTGTGATGTAGTTAATGACTTAAGATCACGCTTTGTTAAGAGTATACAAGCTGGAGAACACACAGAATAAAAACTTTTTTCTTCTTAGACCCTAATCACGTGTGTGTATGTCACATCCAACCTAACAGTAACACTCCTCACACAAGATGATCATTTCATAGTCCCAGACCCCTCTGTGGCAGTCTCTCCCCAGGGCAGGAGGCAGAGGAGGGGCTGTGAGGTGGAGCAGGGACCAGCTGCAGTGTGGGGATGCCCCAGCCTGTGCCCTGCTCACTGCCAGGCAGTGGGATCTGGAGGATCTGGGTGCCCAAGTGCTGCTCCTGCAGTGGGAGAGCTGTGGCAGTGAGACCCACAGGTTTTCATCACTTCTTGCAGCAGGGCAGATGATGAATCCTACACCCACCACACGGGAAATCATCATCGCCTTCCCAGCTATGCTCCAAGGGGATTTGTGCCCTCTCCTTTTTCTCCTCACCAGCCTGGCTGGCAGCTGGCTGCTCCAGGGGGCTGCTGAATTGTTTGTTTGCTAGGAAGGGCCCTGAATGCACAGACTGCTGGAATCCCCTTGCCTATGTGGATGTGGCACAGCACTTGGCCTGGCTGTGTCGGAAGTTGGAGTGAAATGGTGCAAATAATTTGGCACCCGTGGGAGCTGTGAAGGGAAGTGATGGAGGATCCTCACTCGGGATATTTTACAGCCTGATGGGGCACTGCTGTGTCCTTGGCAGGGTGGTGTGTGTGACTGGAGAAGGCTTTGCTGTCTCTGGTTCCTGTTCATAATGTGATGCTGTGTGTAAATTGCCTCAGCTGAAGGCAGGTTGCTCTAATGCCTGGGACACTGGACCAGGACCAGGAGAGTAGAGAACCATTCTTGGGTGAGTGATAGATTTTTCTTATTCTTGGACAGTTTCTGACCTCCCTTAGTTCACCTATTCCATAAAGATCCATCTCTTCCTCAGGGAAAGTGCCAAGCTCTGCACAGTATTGTGAGCAGTGACAGAGAAGGTTCTGTGCAGAGAAACTGGGGTACAGCTCACCCCGAGTGAGACCCCAGCCAGGAGCTGGTCACCTTTAACCTGCCTGCATGGCCCAGGAGGAAACACAGCATTCCCAGAGCAGGGACTGTCCCATTTGGGGCGCTCAGGGGATGACTTCTGCAGATAACTGGGCGCAGTGTGGGCACCCTGAGAGTGAGGGTCTAAATCCATGTCCACAGGCAGAACCAGCACCTACTGAGGGTGGTGCCATGGGGCAGAGGAGGGTTATAAACCCACTGGCAGCAAGGTTTGCCAGGGATTTCAGCCACCAGCTTCAGCCTGGGTTCAGAAGAGCAGCACACACACAGACTTTACCACATACTGAAGGCTACATTTTTCCCTCTCACAAGAATCTGTCTTTGGTGTCCAAAGAAGTGCTGGAATTTGGCAGGAGATCATTGTCCCATAGGAAGCCTTCACTAAACATTTGCTCTGAATGTGAAACATGGCTTGTGCAGAGGACATGGAAAAGTCACAAGCAATGGCATCTCAGGGAGCCCCATGCTTTGGGGACTGCTCTGGGAGGGATTATTTTTCAGCTCCATCCCACATCCCAGGAAAGCTGTGTTGTAGACATGAGCTGTTGGCAGAGCAGGTTGCTCCCAAGGACAAAAATGCTGTTCTTGCTTTTCTTTTCCTTCCAACCCCAGCTCATTCCGGGCAGCTGAGGAGGAGCAGCCTGGGGCTGTGCTGGTGGGCAGGGAAGTGTGTGTTTATGCTGTGACTGAGGTGTTGTAGTCATGGCAAGCTGCACTGAGCTTCCAGCAGGAAAGCAGGGAACTGAGCTTTGTGTTTTACCTTGTGACATGGGTGTCCTCTTGAAAACAAATTTGCAAAACCAAAGGTGGAGAATACGACCCTAACTCAAGGGCATGGTTCCCAGGGTGATGGGATGAGCTGAATTGTTCACAAGGCTGGTCCAGCAGCAGCAGGGATCAGTGCCAGACCTGTGTGCCACACACAAACCCCACACTCTTTGTCCCTGTCCAATTCTGCCCCTGTCCCTGACACTCTCTCTCTCTCTCAGTTTTGCAGCTCCGGCTCCAGCAGAGAAGGACCCGTGAGCAGCTGGCAGACCAAGGCATCATGCCACGTGAGTATCTCTTCTGCCTCCTTCATCCTGGCTCAGAGGGCTGTGCTCATCCTGGGCACTGCTGGGGCACTGTGTGGCACCAGCTGCCTGCTCAGAGCCCAGAGCTTCAGGGGCACTGCAGAAATGTGATGGTCCCTGGTGCTGCACAGAGCACTTGTCACACACTGTCATGGCCCTGCTCAAACTGAAGTCAGGAGAGATGCTCACCTCACACCATCCAAAATTTCAGCTGCACCTCCCTGTCCCAGAGGTGTAGCAGGACAAGCACATCCAGCTCCAGCAGAGGACTCACAAAGCTGTTCACAAGGCAAGGGCAGAGAATCTCCTGTCCTGTAAAGGCCAGGAGCCCCTGTGACAGGACAAGGAGGAGGATGAGGGGGCTCACCCCAGGGGAGGAAGGCAGCTCTGGGAACTGCCTTGGCCCCGGTGCACACAGGACTGGGACATACCCAGATCTGTGCAAGGCAGGGCCCCACAGGGCAGAGCTGTCAGTGCCCACCTGAGGCCATGGGGGCTGCCTGCTGCAGAGTGACAGACGTGTTCCCCCTCTGACCCCACTGCCCTGCTCACCTGGCATTCCAGCTCAAGGACAAACCCCAGGACAGCGTTCTCATGAAATCATTCTGCACCAGAAAGGCAGTTGCTAGAGCCCAAAGAGGCAGTGAATGAAAACCATCCCCTTCTGCACCTGCAGGTGCATCATGAAAGCTGTAGCAGCACTGGAGAAAGGATGTTGGGAGCTCAGCCCTGCTCAGTGGAATACTCCATCCTGACCTAGCTCAGGCTCCATGTGCAAATCTGGGCTTACCTGGGACCCAGGTAGAAGATTATCCTTTCTGTCTCATCAAGGACCCCTTGGGTTCACTGCTGAGATCACAATTTTCCAGAGGCTGTGTCACTTCTGTCTCTCCTGGTTGCCCTTGCAGACTGTGATGGAGCTCCTGCCTGAGCAGCAGAACTTCACCTCTCTAAGAGCATGGCTCTGGCACTGCTTGCTGCACCCTGTCCCTCCCCTGTCCCTCCTGGAGGATTGTGCTGAACAACAGACTCCTTCTCAGGACATTCTTGTCAGCACCAAGCATCAGGAAAACTTGAGCAGGATGACAAAAATCATGTCAATGATTTTAACACTGATAAATGCATACTTTCATTTTTTTCACCTGCTTCTTTCTTTAAGCATTCAGATTTTATGCTGCTTGCCATGAAAGGGCAGGCCCTTTGATCACAAGACTCCAGGAGCTGAAGCTTTAGACAAAATGCTGTGATATTTGTTAGAATAATGCAAAAGCATGGGGCAGCAGTGCCCCCTGAGAGGTTTGTACACCTGGGGCTGCTCTGCAAGGCTGCACTGTCACACGTGGCACCCGACACCTCCAACCTTACACATTGCAAAGTGTTCAGCCAAATATATTTGATGGCAACTGAAGGGTATTTTCCTCTTACTTACAGCTTCTTTGCACTCCCAACTTCTAGGCTGACATTTTGCAGTCTGGTTTCTGTCCAAGAAGACCATTTTGGGAAACTTGAGCACGGTTCACTCACTGAAAGTAATAGAAGAAAAGGCACTTATGCCATTATAAAAACAAACACGCAGAATTTAACTGCTGAATTTGACATCAAGAGGAAGTGTCAGATGTTAGCATTTAATGCATGGGAGCCCCAGCCAGTTTCCCCACGGCTTGGGCATGTGCAGACATTCCTTAGGAAAAACAAGTCTTTATTAACTGTATCTTCCCATGCCATGTTGGTTCTGAGGACCAGCAGGTGAGTCCCCCTGGCTGTGATGGACTGCAAAAATACCTGTGCTTGAAGGCCCTCCTGCTGTACACAGCCACCACCTCATCCTCACTGAAGCCCTGAAAAGCTGTCCCCAGGTGATCAACACCACACAGCACCCTGCCCCGCTGCCCCAGCCCCTCACCCATTTCATGCTGAAATCTCATCCCCTGACAAGTTCTCTGAACTGCTATTGCCAGCAACGTCTTTATTTGTTCTGCAGTCTCACACAAGCTGCAGCACCTCCATAATTCCTCCAAAAATCTTGGTGAATTACTAAACTCTGCAGCACTTTCCTGTGGAACAGCACAGCACTGGGTCAGTGGCTGCAGCACGCTGCCAACACCAGCACCTCACACCAGCAGGGCTGGGAAACTCATCTCTCTTGCTAACTCCATTTTTCTCATGTGCACTGTTTCATTTTGCTTCTGATTAAAGCAGCTGTCACCAGTGCTGGTGGCTGCTCACTGGAGCGTGGCACAGCAACACCAGCTTGTCTGTCTGTCTGTCTGTCTGTCTGCTTTACTACTGGCAGGAGTAGGAATGTGCCTTCTGTGGCTTGCTGTCATTCACTGGATGTTCCAGGGGCTGCCTGGGTGTTGACTACTAAAAGTCAATTCAGAGGGCCCCCAAAGCTTTCCTGTTTCTCCCCAGTCTTCTTTTCATCCTCCCCTAGACTGAGGGAGGACAACAAGGCCTGCATGAAAATAATTTCTGTCTTTATTGGATCCCATTCAGAAGATGGAAAGAGAATTTCTGTTGCCAGACAGAGTTGCAGCAGATTATTTCTGTGGGTCAGGACACCTTCCCCTTCCTTGTCCCAATGGGAACAGCTAGTTTTGTCTGCTTACACAGACAGAAAAGAATTTTTGTAGGATGTAAGAAGTATTAACCCCTTCACCATGCAAATTCTGCCTCAGTTTCTACTGCACCAGAGTCAAAAGGGAAATGTGCAGGATTCTCCATGACTGCAGTACAGGCTGCTCCATGGGACTGGTGTTCACTGGTCCCAGAGCCACCAGGGATTATTGGCCTGTTTTTGGGAGCACCACTGGGTTAACCCTCCTTGAAACCAGGAGATGCTGAGGACATGGAGGTCCCATGTGACACAGCTCCCTCTGAGCAGGGGACAGGACAAGTGTCAGTCATGGTCAGTGACAGCAGAGGGACAAAGGGCCACTGGCAGTGCCTCACTGGAGGCTGCACCACAGACCCAAGAGCTGAGGCAGGTATTAATTCTCCTGCCGACCTCAAGCCTCAGTCCCCTGCAGGTTTTACTTTCAGCTGAGGTCCCTCACAGGTGTTTGCTCCTCCCAGATCTGTCTTGTGGTGCCTCCCACCACCTGCAGGGAACATGACAGGGAAAAGATTTCTCTGCTCTCTGTGTCCCACAGAGCACTGTGTTTCAAAGCCTGCACCCCTCCCTGCCCACGTGCCTCCTGCTCTCCCCATGCTCTCCATCCCCCCTGCTCTCTTGCCATGGACTGGCTGAGAGCATGGGATTTCCCAGAGCTTTCCTGAGTTATTTTTAGTCAGCACAATAAAGAGAACAGCTAGTTTGTGTTGCTATTTTTATGGCACTCATTAAAATGCTGTTGCTGAATACCCTGGTAGCTGCTTGCTTCCGCTCCTGTGCTGACTGCTCCTCTTTCTTTCCTGTTGCAGCACTGAAAAGCCCATCTGCATTCCATGAACAGCGAAAAAGTCTGGAGAGAGCCAAGGTAACTCCTGCAGCCGTCCCAAAGAGGAACACATGGGCTTGCTTTGCATGAGGCATGGGGTTTGGAAGCACCTTCCACCACTGTCCCCTCCTCTGGCACCCTCCACGCTGGCCCAGTGGCCAAGGACGAGGGGCAGGGCACCTCTTCTGCTTCCAGAAGTGCTGCCAGGCTCACAAATGCTCTGGAGCACCCTTCTCTGAGCAGGGATGGTTTAGAAAAAGGGAAAAGGGGGCATCTGTGTGCCGAGCTGTGGGGTTTTCCAGCAGGCTGTGGGCAGGGCAGGGTTCAGCATGGCTTTGTCAGACCTTGGAGCTGCTGCTTCCCCCCGGGTCACATCCACAGCCTGCTCCTGCTGTGCTGGCTGCTCTGCACCCCTGGCAGCGAGGTGAGGGCAGGGAACAGGTCAGGCAGTGTGCAGGGGGATGCAGGGGCCACCTGCAGCCAGTCCCCAGGGAGCTCACCATTGTCACCAGGCAGGAGCTGTGGCTTTCAGCTCTGCAGTGCAGCTTGGCCATGAGGACACAGCATTCCAGGGGGAGAAGGGCCAGGCTCCCACCCACCCCAGGCTTCCCTAAACACTGCCAAAGGCAGTAGTCATTTACAGAACACTTTGAAATTCTGTGATCTGATCACTTTTTGGGAGATCACGTTGGTTTTCCAATCACCAACAATGCAGCCTTGATCAAGCTGGAGGGATGATCCCAGAAAGGGAAGCAATTAATCATGCAGGTTTTGCTTGAACACAAGAATTTGTTCCATTAATCTGCAAAATGTGCTTGCAGTCACATAGGAAAGGACCTTTGCAAGGAAGAATGATTGTGAAATACAGGGAAGTGCTCTTCTGAACTTAAACACACTCCAAATCACTTGCCCCAAGTCTCCCGTGGTAATAAATGGCGAGCATAAGAAATACAGTATGACTCTGAAAGATTAGCATGCTTTAAAAATTTCAAGCAATCCAAAGTATCCTTGAAGTGTCATATATTTTACAGCTAAAGTATACATTTGTGTCTCTTTGTCTTTCTCTTCAAAAGCTTTCACTGGCTAGCTGCCTGGGGAAAGGGGAAGGATGGTCTAGTCTATCCCAAACCACGGGCATGTTTAGAAAGTGCTAATGAAGACACTGAGCACAGCCCATAATAAACATTATTCCCTTGCAAAGCTGCCCTGCTTAGACCTGGGAAGCTGTTTCCAGACAGTTACTCCAAGGCATTTGTTGTTTAGCTGATATTCCCCCAAGCTGATGTTGTGCAAACACAAAGCAGATAACTGTTCATGTGTTGTGAAAGCTCCTCTGCTTCAGCTGATGTTAAAAAAGCTCACATCTGAAGGGTTCATCATTTGCACCCCAGAGGCACAAATGCAGCTTATTAACAGCCAGGGTCCAAAGGAACTGCAGTCACAGCAGGAACACAGCTGTGGGACAGCAGCTGGAGCTGAGCCCAAGCCAGGACCTGATCTAAGGATTAGCTGGAAATGCATTATGTGAGTTTAAATGCACTCAGGTGCAGACACCAGCTTGCTCTGACCTGGCACAGGGACCAGGCAAAGCCACACATGGTCCAAACACGGGATTGTGTTGGTGGAAATAAGCTGTGAAAAATATGGGGGAAGGGTAAGGCGTTGTAAAGACTTTAGTAAATAAAATGTCTATTATTTGTTTAAACATGTCACTGGCTATGTTAGAGGCTGGCAGCAGGCCAGCGCAGCAGACTTTGATGTCCTATAATAGATTCCTGGGGTGGAGGACAGAGAGCAGGCTGGCTTTCCTGGGGCTGTCTGGCTCAGCACACAGGGGCTGCAGGGTGGCTGTCATGGCCCTGCCCCAGAGCAGAACAGCCCCACTGGGCAGGTCACAGAATTCACAGGATCACAGAATCACTGGGTTGGAAGAGACCTTCAAGATCATCGAGTCCAACCCAGCCCCAACAGCTCAACTAAACCCTGGCACCCAGTGCCACATCCAGGCTTTGTTAAACACACCCAGGGGTGGTGACTGCACCACCTCCCTGGGCAGCCATTCCAGAACTTTATCACCCTTGCTGTAAAACACTTTTTCCTAATATCCAACCCATATTTTCCTTGGTGCAGCTGGAGGCTGTGTGCTCTGGTTCTGTCAGTGCTGCCTGGAGAAAGAGCCTAGCCCCACCTCAGCAGAGCCACCTTTCAGGAGCTGTAGAGAGTGACAAAGTCCTGGCTAATGACAGCCACCCAGTGCCAGTGACCTGCTCTGGAGCTCTCTGAGCTGTGCAGTGAGCCCTTGGCCCCCGATTCCCAGCCCCAGCTGTTCTGCTGAGGTTTGAGCACACTACTCTGTGTATATTCAGAGCTGTGTCTCTTTTTCCTGCAGCACTTTTAAAAGCTGTATTACATCCTGTGCCCCAATAGCCATCTCACCTCTGGGCTGACCCACCTCCCCTCCCCTCAGCCCCCTCACTGATCTCATCTCTGACTCAGGGGTGATGTCTGCAGCTGCTGCCCAGGCCCTTCCATGGCCCTTTCAGCTGCAGGGCACAGAACAGGGCTGAGCTGACACCCTGTGCTCTCTCCCCTGCTGGTTTGGGGTTGTGGGTCAGCTGCTGACCACTGGATTCTCCAGAGCCTTTTATACTTTTCCAATTCATAGAGTAACTAATTTCTGCCTTAGGCCCTGTCCAGTGACCACTGCAGGAGCATCTCTGGTGCATTAAGTTTTTATCCACTGCAGTGCTTAATCCGCTGGCTTAGCTGTGGCTGTGGCCTGACCACAGCCCTTCCCAAATGTCCTTCTTGAAACTGTAGCACATGTATTTCAGATCATCAGTTGTGCCAAACCATGGTGCACTGTAATCACTTAGCCTTGAATGATTCAGAATGAGGGAGTGTGTCTTCTATCATTCAAGGCATTAACTAATATATTGACTAGCAGGAAAAATTGCTTTGTAGCAGGATTTGATTTATTCTTCTGTTTAGACTCTGAGCCATTTCCAATTCCTTTGGTGATCCAAAGCTATGCTCCTTTTTTATATTAGTCTCATCCAGACCAAATTTCTCTGGCTTGCATGTGAGAAAGCCATGGGAGATAATGTCAAAACACGCTTTGAATCAAGCTGCATGATATTCATTGTTTATTGCTGTACCAGAAAACTGTCATTTCTCCATAGAAGGAATTTTGGTTGGTGTGATGTGATTTGTTCTTGATAAATCCATCCTGGCTGTTGCTCACCTCCATGCTATCTTCAAAATTCATTTATACCGATTGTTTGATTACTTGTCCAATATCTTGCTGTCTGCTTTACAATTTCCTGATTTCTTCTTCCCATCTCCTTTAAAGCTAGCAATTACTCCTTTGCCCAGTTTCCTGGAGAACCTTAGATAGCTGCTATTACTCCAGCCTTGTGTGTCTCAAAATTGTTTGGGAACATTTAACTCCTCTGAGTACCCTCTAACCTGTTCTCCAACCTGACAACTGGGGTTTCTCCTCTTTTCTTGCTGAAGGTTCTTGGCTGAGCCACCTGTTTGATAAAGAGCCATTTGTTTTTTTAGTGAGGATGGTTTTTAAAAGGCATTAAATCCTGTAGCCATCTCAACAGTATGCTGAGAATTATTTCTCCTGTTTATGGAACACAGACAGCACTTTCCATTGCCTGATCCTGGCTGCAGAAGTCCTTATAAGATCTTTTTCTTATGATCCTGTACATTTTGTACTGTGGATTTCCAATTTTGCTCCAGCTGCTTGTATTATTCTTTTATATTTATCCTTAATATTTTAGTCTCTTTGAACTATGCACAATTCTTCTTGCAGCTCAGCTTAGCTAAGAGCTTGTCTAAGTTGAGCTCTAGCTTTTCTTTACCAGGGGATAAGCTTATATTTATATTTGCATTTATATTTGTATTCTTAAGGTCATCTGCCCTCAAGGCTGACTTTCTTGGCCCTTCTGGATGGTGTTCCTGTAGCTCTGTGTGCCTCTCTGTTCCTACAGCCATGAGGGAGTTGGCACAAGGCTCCAGGACCTTGTGTCCACCACAAGCCCAGCTGCAGTGACTGCAAAGCAGATTTTCCCAACCCCGTATCACAGCTTGGGTGGGGAGCCACAGAGCACAGGGGCTGCAAGGCTGCAGGAAGGTTAAGCCTCGTGGCTGAGCTGGGTTCAGAGTCTGAGTGGCTTCATGACTTGTTCTGCCTGATATTTCCCACAGAAGCCACTGCTGCCAGGGCATTCTGGAGCATCTCTCAGAGGTGACATGGTGAGCAGGCTCACCATGCCCAGGGAATAGGTGTCACCCTTCCTATGAGCTCTCAACATTTCAGGCATCAGAAGCCCAGTAGGGATGGCAAAGGGCACAGAGTGGATGCAGTGAACAGTCAGCAGCTACGTGCACGTTGTTCCCTTTCTGAAGAACTTTAGAAAAGGAAGAACAAGCCAGCGTTTCAATGATGAAAAATGTCATTTGGAGCTCACACAGCTTGTAATAAATCCAAAAGAATCAGGGGATGGCCCAGGGGCAGGTGCTCTCAGTACCCTACTGCTGCTGCAGGCAGGTAACTTTGTGTTTGTGTTCTGCAGACTGAAGATTATCTCAAGCACAAGATCAGAAGCAGGCCTGAGCGGTCAGACCTGGTCAATATGCACATTCTGCAAGGTAAGAGCCTCTCCCACATACTCCTTGTGTCTCCTGCCCTGGGACTTGTGTTTCTCCTGCCCTTCTTGCGTTCCTGCAGGAATCTCATCACCATTACTTTGTTCCAGCTGCTCATGGGGGGCAGACTCAAATGGGGCACATCATAGGAATTGTGTCCAGAGCTGGTGTTAGGAAGCAGGACACACTTTTATTCCCTGACAGACACAGTCCCAAGGCCACCCAGTCTTTCTCCCATCCCTGGCAGTGTAAGATGTTCTGGGAACAGCTGTGAGAGAGAACTCTGTTACACACTGGTGCCAGTGTCTGATTGTGAAGAGCAAACCCAGAGAATTTGTTGTCCAGGGCACTGAAATTCCTGTAGCAGGTCATTGTAACACCTTCCCAAGGCTGGACATCCTTTGTGCTGCTGTAATTCTGGATATTCTGTGTGACAGCCCATGCAGTCAATGACTCAAGCAGAGCTGTATGAAAAGCCCTGCTATCAGTCTGAGCCACAGCAGCTCTCTCCTCTCCCATCCTGGTGTTCCCTCTCAGGCAGAGAGCTGGCAGGGCTGGATCCCATCACAGACAGCAGAACACCACAGTGTCCCTCGTTATCTCCAGAGATAACAAGATCCTTAGAGACAGAGAGGATGTGCAGCCTCCCTCCCTCCTTGAGTCCTGTCACTTGCCTGGAAGAAGCAGATCACTCTCTGGCAGCTGTGAATGCTGCCCTCTGCTCTCAGCATGGATACAATCTGTATTTCTTTTTAGCTCTGGCAGGCAGGAGGGCTGAGTCTGGGTCCCGTGCTGGATCAGTATTGCTGCCTTGCTTTTCCTCTGGGTTTCCATCCCAAAAACAAGCTAGCACCATTGCTTGTTGAGGAGATGGAGATGGTAGAGAAAGGCTCGTGTTTGGGAATGGAAAAGCCGAGCCTGAGGCTCAGAGAAGGACCCACGTCCCAAATCACGGCAGCCCCACCCTGTCTGGCAGAGCAGATCTGCTGTGCTGAGCCACGCTCAGGTGTTGGCCACAGCCCCCAGAGGCTGTGCTGAGGGACAGCACATTGTCACCGAGTGCTGTGCCCACAGGAGCCCCTGGTCCTGATGCTTCTGTTTGGCCTTTCAGACTCGGCTGCAGAGGGGTCCATTCAGTCCACCCAAATGAAGCTGAAAAGAGCCCGACTGGCAGATGACCTCAACGAGAAGATCGCGCTCAGGCCGGGTCCTTTGGAGCTGGTGGAGAAGAATATTATTCCTGTGGACTCAGCTGTGAAAGAGGCCATAAAAGGTAGTGACAGTGAATGGGAGTGTTGTGTGTGCATGGAGTGGGGCAGGGGCTGCCACAGTGACGGCAGGAAGTGACCAACCTGGATGTAAGAGCTGCTTTTATTGCCTAAATTTAATTATTTTCACAGTAACCATCCAGTCCAGCATATCTTGTGAGCACAGAGCTCTCATCTTAGAGCAGTGACACAAACAGGCACCAGTGCTCAGCCACATTCCCCCAGAAAGACCCTCCCTTCTTACACCCTTCCCTCCCCAAGGCTTTGAGCACAGAAGTGATGCTATTGGAGAGAGGACACTCCTTCCTTCAGCATGGGAGAGAAGCTGAGTGCACAGGGGTTGGTGGTGAGACCTGCCCAGACTCTCCTACTCGTGCTGTGCCAAGCTCCCACATCCCAATAAATGGGGGTGGAGCGGCCCCAGTTCAGGAAGGCTGAGGGTTCTCTTTTATTTTTTACCACTGGTGCTGGTGATATGTAGGACCCAGCAGAGCAGAATTCTTCATCCCTGGGGTGTGGAGCATCCTTGGGGTGCTAAATTGCTGGAGAATATGAGCAGGGGCCTGCAGCCCCAAACAGGGCACACATCTACCAACCAGACCTAGCACTTGTCCTGTGCCTAAGCTTGGTTTTCCTCCATCACCTCCTCCCACCAGAGGAGGGAGGAAGAATCATCCACAATTACTTCTCCCACGCTGCTGCAGGGAAGCTGGTGTGGGAGCCAACACAGAGCAGAAAGGTGACTCTAATTTCACCAGGGCTCAGTGCCAGGACAGGAGATCCAAAAGCAGAGAAAGGAGCAGGAAAGCCAGCAGGGTCCTGCAGTGACAGGGCAGCAACCTGTATTTTTAAAGTCTGGGGCTGTGTCCACCTGTCCAAACTGGCGCTCAGGTCTCCAATGAGGCACTGAGAGCTGCTCTGTTCTGTTGCTCTTGTTCTGTTGCTCACAGTTCCTCAATTAATGGGATCATTTCCATTGGTATAATCCCATTTGAAGGGTCTGTTCTGGAGCTCAGAGAGGCTGGGGACAATGGCAGGGTTTTGGGGAAAAAAGAGTCTTGGAGTGACAGGAGAGATGCCAAAAATGAGAGTTGAAACAGCAAGCTTTGATTTTTATTTGATCTCAGAAACCATCTTAAATGACATGAAATATTCCAGGCTCATACACTGCTCTGTCCTGCCCCACAACTATTCCTGCTCTTGGTTTGGGGGCTGTGAAACGCAGGCTGTGTATGTGCAGCAGCTTCTCCAGCCTGGCCCTGGAGCTGCTCCATTCCCAGCATGTCGCAGCTCTCCTCTTTGAAGGTGAAACGTTCCAGGACTCTGCCTGAAGAGGAATTTTTAAGAAGAGTTCAAGTAAAATCTCCCCAGCCACTTACTAAAGGAGAGAACAGTGGAAAAAAAAAAGGTTCAAAAAATCCCCCCCTTTATAAACATTTGAGGCAGTGTGAGCATGACTTTATCCCCTGGAGCTGAGGTTTGGAGAGGGCAAATGATCTTGAGTCTTGAATAGAGCGTCTCTCCAGCTGCCTTGTCAGGAGCTGGTGGTAAACAGAGACTTACAGGACCAAACTGTTAAAAACAAAAATACTGGCTTAAAAATTATTTGTTCCGTTTTAAATTTCTCCCTTTCACAATGCTTTTCTATCACATTGCTGGGGGAAAACGTGTCCTTGTAAGCCAGTTTCATCCCATTTAGGGTCAAACGTGCAGGACATTAGGGTCCAACATGAAGCTGCTTGGTACCACAGGGTGCCATGGGAAGAAGGTGGTGCAGCTGCACCAGGAACACCATCCCAGCCCTCAGGTTTCTGCAGAAGAAAGCCTCAAGTTGAAGGATCCTCAAGCTCATTTTTGAAGTCAGAGGCACCTTGTGGTACTCACAGTTCGGGTCAAAGGGCTGAACACAGAGCGGAGATGAGTCCTGGCACTTCTGAACGTTAAGCCTTTTGTTTTTGCAATACCAGAAAGATGACAGGGTTTAAAATCATTTTACTTTAACCTTGGAATCTCAACTGTTTATACAGTGGAAAGTTCAGCTGACGTGTTCCTCTAATCACCTCCGGCAGGGTGAGCAGAAAGTGCCAGACCCCAACCGAAAGCCCAAACGTCCCAGTGACAGGAGGCCGCCAGTGCCCTGCATAGCTGAGCCGTGATACAAGGAACTTTTTTTACCAGGTCCTTGTCATCACTTTGTCCAATGCGCTCAAGAGGACAATACCCAGTGCATTAGAAACGGCCCGGAGCAAACACCATCCTGCCTGAGATTACAGCAGGGACACGGGACTGAGAAACAATACGCTCAGGCCGGGCTGGGTGAGAGCAGGACAGATAAGGGAAGCATTCCCCATTGGCACAGCCCTGCGGTATCAAGCAGCAGGATGCAGCACATTCCTGTCATGCTCTGGGCTGTCACTGTGTCCTGAAGGTCCCTTGTGCTCCCAGCTCTGGCACCACTTCCCAACACACGCTCGCCTGCCAGCGCAGCAGGAGCCCTGCACATCCACAAATGCTCCTTGCTTGGAGTCATTTTTCCCAAGAGAGGATGTCCACGCTGGCCTGCAGGCATGGGCAGCAGCTCCCGTGCAGCCCAGGTGGCCCATGCAATGCTGCAGCTCCTCAGGGACCTGTTTGGGTGCCGCCTCTGATGGAGAGGATGGAGAGGACACAGACCCTCTTTGCAGGGACAGCAAGTTGAACACAGCTGATCTCATTTCCCCAGCCCATGTCTGGGCAGCAGCTCAGGCAGGGAGCCAGGGTTCTGTCCTCGCCCACCCTGGCACCAGCAGCCACAGGGAGTGGAGATAACCCTTATCTCTCAGATAGGGGCAGGGGTCAGAGCAGGAGGTGCGTGTCGCTGAGAAGGTGCACATTGCTAGGCCAGCAGCAGGGACAGGTGGAAGCTTGTCCCCAGGCCCTTCCTATTTCCCCATTTGTCACCTCACTATCAGCGTGCCAAGCTGCCTGACAAATGCCAGACATGAGCACGAGGAGATTACGAGTGTGGCCACGCTGCTCCTTCCTCTACCCCCACCTGCAGCTCTCCCGAGGCTCACATGAGACCTTTTTTTTCTCAGCACTTTATTTATCATCAAACCTCGGGGTCAAGAGCCCTTGCCCATCTGACTAGCAGATAACAGTGCAGGAGCTGTGCAGGCGGGGCAGCCTGGGGCTGTGGGGCAGGCAGCAGAAGTGGTTTGAACTGTGTCCTGTGGGTGAAACCTGTGCACAGAGACAGGATGGGGAGCCTCTGTGCACCTGCAGCCACATCCACTCTTGCTGGCTCTTGTGCTGTGAGCAGACGGATCACATTCCGAGCTGATTTCAACCTCACTCCTTCTGCTGAGGATGGAGTCCCATACATGGGGTGGGTGTTCAGACGGGGTGCTCAGCTCAGGAGGGAGATTCGTGCCCTGCAGGATGGCAGAGCCCCTCCTGCACCAGTCCCACCTGTCCGCACCAGCCCTGCTGTGCTGGAGGGATGGGCTCCTGCATCCCCATCTCTCTCTGTCCCAAGGAACAAGGGCCATGGTTCCAGCTCCTCCAATCGTCCTCTCTCCCTGTCTCAAGGAACAAGGGCCAAGATCCTGTCTCCTCTAACCCTACTTTCTCCCTGTCTCAAGGAACAGGAACAAGGGCCATGGTCCCAGCTCTCGGACCTCTCCTCTTTCCCTGTCTCAAGAAAAAAGGGCCACGGTCCTGGTTCCTCAGATCCCCCTTCTCTCCCACAGTCCATGGTCCTGGTTCCTCGGACTCCTCCTCTCTCCTGGTTCCCAGGAACAAGGGCCATGGTCCCAGCTCCTCCATCCCCTCCTCTCTCCCTGTCTCAAGGAACAAGGGCCATGGTCCTGGCTCCTCAGATACCCTTTCTCTCCCAAGGGACCCAGTCCACGGTCCCAGTTTCTCCAAGCCCTCCTCTCTTCCCCAAGGAACAAGGGCCATGATCCCGGTCCCTTCATCCCCTCCTCTCTCCCTGTCCCAAGCCCTGTCCATGGCTGGGCCCCCCTGCTCTCCCCAGCCCCCGGGCAGCCGTGTGCCCCTCACGCAGGGCCGGGCAGGGGCGGCGGGCACGGCCTAGCTCACCCCGTGCCCGTCTGCCCCCGCAGGCCCTGACCGTGCCCCCTCTGCCCCCGCAGGCACCCAGGGCGGCTTTCCCCGGCAGAGCGACGCCTTCGCCTTCGAGGAGGACAGCAGCAACGACGGGCTGTCCCCGGAGCGGCCCCGCAGCCGCGGCTCCCCGGGCCCCGCCGAGCCGCCCCCCGGCTCCAAGGCGCCCGAGCCGCCCCCCGCCGGCCCTGCCGGGGCTCCCCAGGTAGGGAGAGCCGTCCTGGGGCCGGGGGACATGCGGGGGACAGAGCCGTGCGGCGCTGGGGATGGCACAGGGAGCGACACGCGGGGTCCCGGGCCGGCAGGTGATTCCTGCCCTGTACTCGGCACTGATATCCCGTGAGGTGTCCAGTTCTGGGACAATTTAGGAAGGATGTGGGGATGCTGGAGCGTGTCCAGAGGAGGCAACAAGGCTGGTGAGGGGTCTGGAGCACAAGTCCTGTGAGGAGCGGCTGAGGGAGCTGTAGGGGCTCACACTGCACAAGAGAAGTCTCAGGGGTGTGAGACCTCATCACTCCCTACAGCTCCCTGTAGGAGCGTGCAGCCAGGTGGGGTCGGGCTCTTTTGCCAGGGAACAGCGACAGGACAAGAGGACACAGCCTTAAGCTGCACCAGGGGAGGTTCAGGTTGAACATTAGGGAGAAATTTATCACTGAAAGAGTGGCTGGACATTGGAATGGGCTGCCCGGGGAGGCGGTGGAGTCACCACCATCCCTGGAGGTGTTCAAGGAGAGCCTGGATGTGGCACTCAGTGCCGTGGTTTAGTTGACAGGGCGGTGTTAGGTGAGCGATTGGACTCGATGATCTCAAAGGTCCTTTCCAGCTGGGTTAATTCTGTGATTCGGTGTGATTCTGTGATTTTGTGACATTCTGTCATCCTGGGACCGCGCTGCGCGGGGCCGGCGCGCCCACTGCCGGCCGGCGCGGGCACTGCAGCCCCGGGGAGCGCCGGGCCGGGGCGGAGAGAGGGACTGGGGGCACTGGGGAAACTGGGAGAAACTGGGGAATGTAAAGGATGGGGGAATGGGAGACTGGGGGAAACTGGGAATGTAGAGGCTGGGGGAACTGGGGGGAAACTGGGGGAATATAGAGGCTGGGGAAATGGGGAGACTGGGGGGAAATTGAAGGAATGTAAAACCTGGGGGAACTGAGGGGAAACTGGGGAATGTGGAGGCTGGGAGAACAGGGGGAACTGGGGAGAAATTGGGGGAATGTAGATGCTGAGGAAATGGGGAGACTGGGGCGAAATTGGGGAATGTAGAGGCTGGGGGGAATGGGGGAGCTGGAGTAGACTGAGGCAGACTGGAGGGGCTGGGATGGAAGGGGGAGAAAAGGAGGAACTGGGGCAGACTGGGGTAGGGGAGGACCAAAAGGATTGTGGCCATCTATGGGTCAGCTGGGAAGACTGGGCTGGTCTGGAGGATACTGAGGGGCCAGCTGTGAGCAAGGATACGGGGCTCAGGTGAAATTGGGAGGGCTGGAAAACCAAGGAGGAGTGTGGAGGCAGAATACTGGGAAAGGACTGGGGTAGCCTGAGGATGTGGCTGGGATAGACATGAGGGGACTGGGATGCACTGAGGCATGTGCGGGGATTGCGAACAACATGGGGTGAGGAAACGGGACACCAGCAGCACCTGGGTCCAGCCCCACAGCCCCTCTCCCCTCTCCCTTGCAGGATCGTCCCCCCAGTGCCGATGGGCACGCCCCGGACACTGCCCCGGGGCAGGGCAGCCAGTGCGACAGCCCCAAGCAGCCGGCGGGGCAGGAGAGCCCGACGCTGCCCCTGCCCTCTGCCGTGAAGGTAATGCCGTGCCTCCGGGCTGCCCGGGAGGGGAGCCAGCCCGGGGCATCCAAGCCTGGAGTGCCCGTGTGCTGTGCCCCAAGTGTGTGGGAGCTCTGGTGTCTGGTCTTAAAGGCTTTGAATAATTCAGGCAGACAGCCTTGTGTCAAAAACTAATTAATTGTAATGGCACAAGGTACAACATTGCACCTTGCTGGAGGCAGCTGCTTGAGTCCTGCACTGAAAACATCCCCTGGGGCTGGGAGCAGGAGGAGATACCAGGCCACACTGGAGCACCTCCCAGGCAGGGAGGGTCATTCTCCATCTCGTGTGCTCTCCAGCCCAGCTGAGATGGGACACAGTGCCAAGGGAGTCCCCCACATCCAGGCTCAGCAGGTCTTGGAGCTGGAATGTCACAGTGCCAGCAGGAGCTGCCTTTGTTCTGTCCCATGGGGATGACAGGAGCTCTTCTCACACCCAATTCCTTCCCTTTCTTCCCACAGTCCAAATCATCCAGTGACAGCAAGAACCGTCACAAAAAGCCCAAGGACACCAAGCCCAAAGTGAAGAAGCTCAAGTACCACCAGTACATCCCTCCAGACCAGAAAGCAGAGAAGTCCCCTCCACCCATGGATTCTGCATATGCCAGACTGCTCCAGCAGCAGCAGCTCTTCCTGCAGCTCCAGATCCTCAGCCAGCAGCAGCAGCAGCAGCAGCAGCACTTCAGCTACCCTGGGATGCACCAAGGACAGCTAAAGTGAGTGCCAGCAGCAGGACTTAGTCCTGTTTCTCTCCAGGCTTTCCTCTCTGTATCCATTTATGCCAAAGCAAGGGGATAGAGGCACACCACTGAAACAGAAAAGTTTGGGAACAGCACAGACTCCTTCCAAACCATTCTGGCTTTGCATACTGGTGGGGACACCTGTGACTTGCTGGTGGGACACCAGCCATCCCCTACAGCCTGGTTTTCCTTGGCCATTCTGAAGTCTCATATAGGAGAGAGCAGACCCAAGGGAGCAGAGGGATGGGATGCTGGGCACAAAGACCTTGGGGGAACAGACAAGTTATCCCAAATCTCCTTTGTTATTTCAGGCAATCAAATGAGCAAATGGTCAAAAGCTCAAATCCTTCATCAACTTCTGGCAACAACACCCCTCTTTCTCCAGTGAAAACCACCTTTTCAGGCCAGACTTGTGTCTCATCTATCAAGCCAGGCCCTCTGCCCTCCAACCTGGATGATCTCAAAGTGAGTGCAAACTCCGTCACTGCAGGAGGGGAATGTCACAGCCTGAGTGTGTCAGGGGAGTGCCACAGACTGGGAGGGGCTGTGTTACAGATCTGCACACCTGAACCCCCGTGCTCTGAGCCACCCAGGAGTGCAGCCCAGCACCCTGGGGCACGGCTTGGTCACTGGGAGGTTCTGAACACGAGGGCTTGCTGCTGTGCAGGTGGTGAGGGGTGCACTGCTCCAGCCTGTGCATCAGCAAACCAAAGGGGTAGCCTGGGGAGGCTGCAGGTCAGGCTGAAGGATGATCTGAGCTGCTGCTCCTGCAGCTCCTGGCTCCATCCCTATGTGGTTTTGACATTGTGGATGCTCTGACAGACTCAGTGACTCAGCTCCTCAGCCAGGCCAGCTCTGCTCTCTGCATGAGCAGGTACCTCCTGCTCCATGCACTGTTTTGAGCCCCTCATGTAGGCAAGAAAGGGCATAGGGGAGAATCCCTCATATCAGCTATTCTTTTGTTCTAATGGACCCTCAGTGATGGGAAAGGCCAAATTCTTCTAGGAGCAGAGACCTGGGGGCAGCCCTGAGGTAGAAACTTTGCAGTTTGCCCCGGCTCAGGTGGTGAAATTCATGTACCATGATCATCATGAATCATGTGCCTGAGCACAGAACATGTGGCTCCAAGGTGGCACAGTCTCTGAGCTGTCAGATGGTTCTTGGTCTGTGTTAAAGCCCTCTGCCCATGGAGAAATCTGCTGCTAGGAAGGGAATGCTGAGTTGCTTCCCTGACCCAAGGACCACTGCTGGTTCATGGAGAGGAGTCACAGTTCTCAGAGAAAGGAGGAAGGTTTTCCTTTTAGGAAAGGTTGAGATTCTGCAGGATGGGCAGTGGTCAGGCCTGTGCACGGTGACTCTAGTGGCTGCAGGTGAGACAGGGAGCACCTGGGAGGTCAGAGCTTTAAAGCTGGAAGCTGTGATTTGAGACTCCTTGTTAGAAGCACTGGGTTTCTAAAAGGTTGATCTGCCACTGAGACTTGTTGGGTTTTCTATTTGAGCAAGGTCTTACGAGCTCTCAGAGGAGCCCATCACACCTGAGATAGCTCAGCTACCCCGAATGGCATAAAATTAGCAGGATGGCTTCTGAGGTATTGTTGGAAACAGGAAAAGTTTTAATAAAAGGCAAAATAACAAAGCTCTTACAGAGAAAAACCAAGCCAGGGGCATGAGGTTCTTGCTCCTCCTAAAACACTCCACAAAAGCAATTATTTCCTTTGTTCTCTTCTTTTTCTAGTGAATTAGCTAGGTGGGACCTAGAGAATTACCTAGGTGGGACCTAGAGAATCACCTAGGTGGGACCTAGGTCCTCATAGGACCTTTTAGCCTCTGTCTACTTGGGTAGCCCTAGGTTTGAGCACCCAAAGGTCCTATGAGGTGTCTTTTTACCAAATTGAGGAGAGAAACTTCTGGGCTTTTTTCCTTTTTAAGGTGGCAGAGGATAATTTGGTCACTCTGTCAACAAGGCCGCACATTCCTGCAGAGGCTGACCACGGGTGACTTTCCTTCCAGGTGTCAGAGCTGAGGCAGCAGCTCCGAATCCGAGGCCTGCCCGTGTCGGGCACCAAGACGGCGCTGATGGAGCGGCTGCGGCCCTTCCAGGAGTGCAGCAGCAGCACGGTGCCCAGCTTCAGCGAGATCACCACCGTCACCTTCCCGGTCACTCCAACCAGCACCCTGTCCAGCTACCAGTCGCAGTCCTCCAGCAGCATGTTGTCAAACGGCTTCTACCACTTTGGCAGCACCAGCTCCACCCCGCCCATCTCGCCCGCCTCCTCTGACCTCTCTGTGAGCGGCTCTCTGCCCGACACCTTCAACGACGGGCCCATGGCTTCCCCACAGTTTGCTCTCCAGCCGTCACCCGTTCACGGCAGCGCTGAGGAAAGCCTCATGAGCAGCATGAACGGAGGGAGCATCCAGCTGGAACTGGAAGGAATAGACACGGAGAAGGACAAGATGCTGGTGGAGAAGCAGAAGGTCATCAATGAACTGACGTGGAAGCTGCAGCAGGAGCAGAGGCAGGTGGAAGAGCTGCGGATGCAGCTCCAGAAGCGGAAGAGAAGCAACGGCCTCGAGGAGAAGCAGCAGCCTGCTCAGCATTTCTTTGGTGTCCCCATCAAGCAGGAGAACACCGTGTCCAGCTGTCCATTTGCATCCAAACAAATGGCCCTGAAGGGCCAGGCCGGCAGCTCGGACAAGCTGAGTAACTGCGGAGTACCTCAGGTGCCCCACATTGTGAACAGCCACTGCTTGGAGCCCGCGGGGCAGAGCACCATCACCTCCTCGACATTCCTGAGCCCGCAGTGCTCCCCGCAGCACTCTCCCCTGGGCGCTGCAAAGAGCCCCCAGCACATCAGCCTGCCACCGTCCCCCAACAGCCACTACCTGCTCCCGGTGTCCCCCGAGGGCCGCAGCGGGTCCCCCCCGGGCAGCAGCTGCCTCCGCACGGCGCCGGTGAGTGCCAGCCCCGACCCCGCGGGGCACACCTTGCCTCTGGGCCCGGGGCTGCCTGCAAGGGCAGGAGGTATCCCCGGTGGGCAGTGGGATGGAAGCTGGTAGCACTGCAGGGTCCTTTGCAGGGTTCTTTCTGGGGAGCCCTGCCACCGCAGCAAGTTCCCTGGAGGGGCCACAGCACAGCTCTCGTGCCCCGTGGAGCCCTGGCACAGCTGCTGCTGCCCTGAGGAAGCCCTGGCACGGCTCCCCTCCTCCGCAGGGGACCCCAGCACTGCTCTCTGCCCCTTGGTGAGCACTGGCAAAGCTGTTCATGTCCTGGGAGAGTTCTGGCAGAGCATCCTCTGCCTATGGAGCCCTGGCGCAGTTCCCTCTGCCCTGGGGAGCTCTGGCACAGCTCTCTCTGCCCCTGGAGGAGTCCTGGCAAGCTCCCACTTCCCTGGGGGAGCACTGGCACAGCTTCTTCTACCCTAAAAGAGCCCAAACCCAGCTGCCTCTCCCCTCAGGGGGAGTCCTGGCACAGCTTGCTCTGCCCTCGGGGGAGTCCTGGCCCAGCTGTGCCCCATGGAGGCCTGGCACAGCTCTGTACACGGCAGGGAAGCACCAGCGTGGATCCCTCAGCTCCTGGGAGAGCCCTGGCACAGTTCCTACACCCCTGGGAGACCCCACTGCAGGGCTTCCCAGCATCTTGCCAAGCCATTGTGGCTCCCAGCAGTGTGTGAGGGATTTTCACCACTGAGCTGGAGGAGAGCAGTTTCCCCAGGGAAGTCTTTTCTCAGGAAGCTGGAGCAGGGCTGGCAGTTGAGGTCTGCAGTCAGACAGAGCTTGGCCTCCCCACCAGGCCAGCAGCCCAGCACAGAGCTGTCCCCAGCAGCCACCACTGCTCACTCAGCCCCCTGGACAAGCACTTGGGGAGGGGGACATGCTGCACAAAACAGCACAAGGTTCTGCTCACAGCCCCAGTGCCCTCCCAGGGCTGCCCAGGCAGCAGCAGCAGCCCCTTGCAGTGGCCTGTGCCATGCACAGGGGTGCCAGGTGTGCTCACAGGGGTGTGACAGGGCAGGCTGGGTGTGGGGGACAGCCCACAGCAGAGCAGGGCTCTCCCAGCCCACCCACAGTGGCCCCAGCAGGGATTGGGGGTCAGCCCTGCACAGGGGCACAGAGTGGGGCTCAGGAGGACAGCAAGGTAGGTGCCATGGGCAGCTGGCAAACAGCACAGCCAGTGAGGTGGGAAAGGGCCACCAGGTTTAGGGTGAGGAGGGGCAGAGGCAGAGCTGCCAGTGCAATGGGCATGGAGGGCAGTGGGGCGGCTGCAGGGGTGGGGAGGGTGAAGGCAGCACTGGTTTGGGTGAGTGGGGAGCAGGGGATGCAGGGGGTGACTCTGGGGCTGTGCAGGTGAGCTGGGCACTGCAGCAGGGCTCTGGGGACAGTGGGACACAGTGCTGTGAGCTGACAGCCAAAAGGCAGCAGGGCTGCTCTGGGCACATGGACAGTGGTCAGTGAGGCTCAGGAGGGAGCAGTGACACCACAGGGGCATCTCCAGCTGCTCCCTCACTGCCCAAGGGCAGGGGGATGGTCCCTTTGTGTCCTCTAGCTCATCCCAAGTCCACCACCACCCATCCTGGACATCCCTCTGCTGCCTGCAAGGGACTGCTGGGGGTGAGGGTCCTTCAGCAAGAGCTCTTCCTTTGTGCCCAGCACTGCAGTGCTGTTTCCCATGAGCCAGGGGTGGTGTTCCTTCCAGCTCCCCTCCACAGAAAGGTGGCCAGGATGTGCATGGCCAGGCAGAGTGACCCCACTGCTGCCCTGGATCCAACCCACCTGGAGGGACAATCCCCTGGTGCTGGTTTTTGTGGGACAGGGCCATGGCCAGGCAGTGGGGAAGGACACACAAGGGGCTGGAGGTGATGGGGACAGCAGCTGACAGGCACTGTGCTCCAAATGCCATCCATCCTGGCAGGGGAGCCTGGCAAAAAGCTGGCAAAGACATGCCAGGTGTTTGGCACAGGCAGAGATTTCTGGGTGACCTTTCCTGGCATGAGCTCTGTGAGATGCCCCCAGTCAGGTGGTGATGGGAGGGGGCTGGGGAGGTGCCTCACCACTGGCCAAGCACAGCTGACCCCCAGCAGCATCTCTGCCTTCCCTTTGTCCTGCATGTCCCCAGGACACCAGGCTGTCCTGTGCCACCCTGTCTGTGCAGTGACGAGGGGCCAGCCTGGCCTGGCTCTCAGAGCTGGGTCAGGGAGCTGGTTCTCCTGCCTCTATCCTGCTCAGAGCCAGGCATTTTGAGTTGGTTTGACCCACAAAATTGTCATTTTCCCTGGCACCACACCAACCCCAGCAGGGAGGAGAGAGCCGTGCATTGACTCCATTTCCCTGTATCTCCCCATGCAGATGGCTGCGCAGTCAGGCCAAAACTTTTCTATTTCATCCCCAAGTTTTTGTAAGTCAAGCCCAGCCCTGTCAGAGGTAAAGCAGCCTCCACCCTATGAGGATGCAGTGAAGCAGGTAACTGCATGGTTTTTGTTTTCTCCAGGGCCAGGGCTGCCCGTGCTGTCTCTGTGCACTCAGTGGGACTCAGGTGCAGCAGTTCCAGCCCGTTCTGGGTCTCTGGGCAGGACAGACCTGTTTCCACGAGGAATGGGCTTTTCTGAAGGGTCCCTAGCTGCCACAAAGGAGTCAGCCACCCTGCTGGGCTGGGTAGTGTCCCCTGTGCCCCCAGGGGTGCTGGGGTGCCAGTGTACTCTCTTTAGGTGCTCAGTGTTAGAGACAGACCCTTGAGCATTCCCAGGTCACCAGGAAAGCTCATCTTGCTCATCCATCTGCCCCCTGAGCCATACCCAGTGTCATAGGTTGATAAGGAAGTGAGGTTTTTGGGAGGTCAAACCAATCAGTGCTCAGATTTGCATACATGGGAGTGCTGTTCCTGCAGGGAGGACTGGCCATCACCCAGGAACACCGTCCTTCCCACCTGGGAGCAGCCTGAGTGCTGGGACTGCTGGTGCTTTTGCCTTGGGAAAGTGCTGATGTTGGCAGGATGAAAATGGGTTTATGCCAGCGTGCAGGACATCTTCCAGGTTCTGGTCAGGGAGAGGAGGGAGCCTGGGCAGTACAGGCAGCAGGGTGGGCAGGCAGGCACGTGCCAGTGTGAGGTGCTGGGGCTAAAATGTTGTGTCCTGAGGGCCCTGGGACAGGGCAGGCTGGCACAGAGCAGGGGTTGGCAGCAGGGAAGGGTGCTTTGCTCCCTGGATCCACCCTGACTGTGCCACGTCCCTGCAGTGCCCTGAACGCTGCTGCCAGCCCCATGTTGGTGTGGCCTCTCTTCTGTGTGGGAGGAAACCATTTGCGGGGTCTGGAGCCATCCTTTTTGGGGTCTAGAGCCATCCACCTGGCTTGTGGCTGGAGGGACTGTGCTCCTAATGGCCTCTACTCTGCTCTTTGTCGTTTGCTGCAGCAGATGACGCGAAGTCAGCAGATGGACGAGCTCCTGGACGTGCTGATTGAGAGTGGAGGTATGCTCTGCTTCCCTCTTCCCCTCTGGGGCTTCTCTTCCAGCCAGCCTCGGTCTGTGGGGCTCAGTGCACCCCAGCAGAGCTGCCTGAGTGGAGTACAGCTTTCCCCTGCCCTCCCTGTGCCAGCAGCCACTCAGATTGAACCAAAAGGACACTGGTCCTCCTGGAGCCTGCTCCTGCGTGTGCCAGCCCCATGGGGTGGTCTGGGCCCGGCTGTCCCTGTGCAGAGAGAAGGGACAGCAGGGACAGCACTGCCAGCCCCCTGCCCACACAGAGCCCCCAGTGTCCCCCCCTTTCCCAGGGCTGCCAGTGCCATCTCCCACACAGAGCACTTCTGCTGCCCTGCCCTGTGCACGGTGCTGCCTGTGCCCTTCCCCTGCCCCTTGGGGACAGCTGCCAGTGCTTGTGCCCTAGGGACTGTGTCCAAACCCAGGGGATCACGGTCAGAAATCAGGAATGTGTGAGGCTTCCCCCAGGGAGGGTGGGCAGGCAGTGCCAGTGGGGTCACATCTCCAAAGGGATGCCCCAGAGGTCAGCTGGAGGGCTGTGCTGGTGGGCACTGCCAGGGCACCTCAAATCCCTCTCCTTTGTTGACAGAAATTCCGGCCAATGCCAAGGAAGATCGGTCCTGCCTGCAGAAAGTGCCGCAGATAATGGTGTCACCGGGGAGCTCGGGTGGCCCTGTCCCCAAGGGCTCTGCCCCGTTCGAGCCGGTGTCCTCGGCCCCGCTGCCCTTCGAGCACTGCCCGGGCAGCAGTGACGCTCACCTGGAGGTGCTGCTCAACGCCCACAGCCCCCTGGGCAGGGTCAGCGAGATGGCCCTGCTGAAGCTGGGGGGAGAGGAGCCCCACTTCGAGGGCATGATGGAGGGCTTCTCCGGCAAAGCCGCGGACGAACTGCTCAACTCCCAGGAGATTTTACAGACTCCCCTGTCGCCCATGGACACCCAGCTGTCCCCTTCCCCCGCCGAAAGCTCTGCTTTACAAATGAGTTTCACCGAGTCTCCGTGGGAAACAATGGAGTGGCTGGACCTCACCCCCCCCAGCTCGGCCACCGGCTTCAGCTCGCTCACCCCCGCGGGCCCCAGCATCTTCAACATCGATTTCCTGGATGTTGCTGACCTCAACCTGAACACCAGCATGGACCTGCACCTGCAGCAGTGGTGAAGGGACGTGCTGGGGCAGGGTGCTGTGAGCCTGCAGCAGGCAGCACAGTGCTCCTGTCGTGCCACAGAACACGCAGGGCTAACGTGCCTCATCCAGGGGAAACTGGAGTCATTTTCCCAGCATATGGACTTGTATGAATTTCCAGTCACTGAAAACTGACAGCACAACTCTGGTACTTTGGTTTTCCTCCATTGACACAACCCCACAGAGGACACCAGTGCCTGAAACAACACTTCCTTTGATTGACAAGAACTTCCATTTTCTTTCTTTAATCTTCCCCCCCCCAGTTTTAGCAGTCACTCTTGTGAGAACTGGAGCAGCTCATGACAAGACTGTGTGGTGAGGTGACCTCACCTGGGTGGCAACAGGAAATCATGGAGAGGGAAGCCCACTGTTCTCCTGTCCTGTCCTGTCCTGTCCTGTCCTGTCCTGTCCTGTCCTGTCCTCTCCTCTCCTCTCCTCTCCTCTCCTTCAGGCAGACCTGTTGGGCTCACCTTGGCCGTGCCCATGCCAGGGTGAAGAGCAGGGGGCTGTGCCCAGCCAGGTGCCAAGCACCCTTCTGTGGACAGCTGGGCTCTTGCTTCCCCCCTGCCCAAAGCTGCACTGCCCCATCCCCGCAGAGCTCCGCTCCAGGAGGATGAGAGATGGAGATCACCGAGTTCATGGTGGCACCTTGGCGTGTCCTGAGGGGCTGAAAGCCCGGGAGCTGTCCTGGCTGCATTCTGAGCTGGATCAGGCTGACCTTGGAGCAGAGAGCTCTGGACACTGGAGGCAGATGTGAGGATGCAGGCGCAGGAATGGGGGATGTGGCATCCCAGCGGAGCAGCCGTGTCCCCGGCGCACACAAAGAGATGAGTGATGTGTTTTGGCCGAGGTAGGAGCAAGTGGTGTGAAAGGACCAGCCAGGCTTTGGAGGGGCTGTTCTGTGCACAGCCAGGCCAGGGTGATCTCCAGCCCTTGATGATCCCGGAGCAGAGGGAGCCGGGCAGGGACACTCAGTGACCGCTCCTGGGGCAGAGCCCTCGTGTGGCCGAGGCTTCGTGCGAGTGCCTGCTCCTGCCATCCTCCCCTCCATCCTTCTGCCCGTCCCTCCTCCATCCCCAGCAGTCTTCCCCTCCTCCCCGAGTTTATCCAGCGTCACTGCTCCCTCAGCCCAGAGCAAGGCTACCGGAGAACAGCTGTGAATCACCGAGCCTGGAGGAGCCCGTTCTCCCGCAGCCGGCAGAGAAGGAAGCTCTCCCGCAGTGATGCTCCCGTTTGGAATCACCAGCATTTCTCCTAAGAGTCTCTGTGCAATATTCTTCCTCAGGCTCTAGCAAGAAGGAGCCTTTGCTTCACTTCTTGGCTTCCACCAAAGAACTTGCTGCAGACTTTGTGATGGACGCGTCCGTTCATCGCAACTCTGGTTTTGCCAAAGTAAATATTGTTGCTGACAAAGATTGTTAAACTATTTACAGACTGAGTGTATTTAATATTTGTGTTACTGGAAGGACAGCACACGGAGATGGAGCTGCTGGGAGGAGGTCCAGCCTGGCTCCCAGCAGCTTCCCCAGGGATGCTGGAGCTGTGGGAGGCAGCTCTGCAGCCCGGGCAGTGTCCCCAGTCCCTGGCCTTGTTGCATGCTGTATAAAGCACGTGGCAGTAGCTTTCAAGTCACTATTTAAAGCACCATTTTTCTATTGTACAAATGTCACAGGGCACTGCTAGGATAGACAATCACAGGTTGCATTTTTTTTAAAAAGAATTTCTTTTTCTAAGTGAGAGATTTTTTTGAAGCCAGTCCGTAGAGAATATTCAGAGCACTTGAAGCAGAGTAGTGTTAGCTGCTCCACTGAGGCCTTGTACAGAGTTTTCCAGGTAACTTTCTCCTCTCAGCAATTGTATTTCCTTATTTAAAGGGATGCTGTCAGCTTCAAACTTGTAAGCAAGCACATTTCCTTACCTATGTTACCAGCAACACCTTCATTATTAAAACCCTTGTCTTGCCACTCTGTCTGCCCATGGTTTGCTGTTTGACTTCACCACTGGGACAGCCACAGCTGCCACCCCCTGGTGCCAGCTCCATGCCCTGGGACAGCCACAGTCCTTCAAGGCCAGATGAATTTCATTCATGGCAGCAGTTTCTCCTGGAAGATTTCTGAACACGCCAGCTAGAGCTGAGGGTGGGGGGGGCTGAGTCTGGACCAGGGTCCTGCTGCTGGCAGAGAAAGAGATCAGAGGGGAAAGTGATCCTGAGGCTCTTCCCAGGCCCCAAAGGACACCAGAAGCAGATTTTCTGTGCATGGAGAACTCAGCCCAGCTCTGCCTGGGCCCGTGGTCCTCCAGCCCAACCGGAGCAGCCTCCTGGGAAAGCAGAGGGAGTGCCAGTGGGATGGGACCCCTCCCCTCCCTTGCCTTGAGTCAGTCCTCACTCAGTCTTCCATGTGTAGGTGATCTTCCCACACAGCCTGTCCCAAGGAATTTGGGGTTCTGGGATTTTCCTTTCTCTCAATACCAAGCTGAAGGATCCCAGTGATGTCCTCCTCTCCCTCAGTCTTCCTGCCTGAAAAAAAACAGAGGTAATACAAAGCAAGCAAACAAACAATGTTCTGAGAGTCAAAATAACATTTTCACTGAGGGAGGGAGGGAGGGAGGGAGGAAGGAAGGAAGGAAGGAAGGAAGGAAGGAAGGAAGACAGCTCTTCTGTTTCCTGCTTGGCCACACCACGTTGTCCTGATGGGAGCCATGGGATTTATGCCAAGACAAAGGTTTTCTGGCAGATGTTCCCCAGAACAGCCCACAGACTGCCCTGCTGTTCCATTTCCAGCAGAAAGTGCAGTGTGTGTCCAGGAGAGGGAGTTTGTGCTTCATCTGGCTCTCCAAGCATTTGCACAGCTGTAAACATAAAGGCAAAATACAGCTTTTTCATTTTCTTTTTCCTCAGAGCAGTCACTCCACCTTTCCCTGGGCCCCTTACCATGCTCAAAGCAACGGCCACGTGTGATTAGTGTCAGGACTTGAAGGAAAATTGAGTTGTTTTAAAAAGCAGCACCTATGTGTTAACAGAACCACGGAATCACTGAGGTTGGAAAAGCCCTCCCAGACCACTGAGTCACCCTGATCCCCACCTTGTCCCCACTCAGTGCCACCTCCAGCTGATCCACCCAGTCCCAACTATTCCTGATGCTGGTCAATGCTGCCATGACCAGGGATCCCCGCAGGGTGCTCTCCCCTCTGGGCAGGGCACTCCTGGGCTGTCCCATCCAGCCCAGTGGGGCAGGACAGGCACTGGTGACCAGGCTCTCTCCCCAGCACTCCTCCTCCCCAGTGGGGCTGCTGGGGTCCAGTTGTGCCCACTTGACTGGGCAGATTCCAAACCCTCCACAGCTTCCAGGCAGAAGAGACCTCCCAGCAGCAGGACCTACCCAGGACTCTGAGACCATCTGGGCCCTGCAGACCTTGCAACCATCGGAGCTGGGAGCTCCAGCTGCCCTTTCCCTGGAGGGTGGGCACAGCCACCTGCCCTCCTGACAGGGACTAGGTGTCCTGAGCCACCAGGGCCTCCCTGTGCTGCAAACTGCTCGCCTGAGAGGTGCCCAAACACAGAGTCTTCCAGAGAGACAGAAAATACATCCAGAGCTCTTTCATTTGGCACAAGCAGATCTGAAGGCTGCTTTCCTCTTCCACCTGGAGGCCAGGCCTGGAAGGCAGGTAGGTATTGCAGAGCTCTGAGTGAACATTCCCCTTCACATCTGACCTTACAAAAAGAAATAACAAGGTCACAGTCGCATCTTAGTTTTATTACAACTGACCTGCAGGCAAAAGGATAGAACTATTACATAAACACTCTGATCCATGTATAATAGCTTAAATAGAGGAGGAAGTCAAACCAGGAGACTGGATAAAATATTCGGAAGCTCTTTGAAGCAGTTATGTTCCTGAGCTTCATTTTACAGACAATAAGGCAACATCCCTGCACATCAGCTTTTTGATATTTTTATACATTTTTTTCTATGGTACAAGAAAAAAAAATAACCAGAATTCACAATGTACAGTTCTTACACTATTTTCACAGCTTCTGAACACTATACACTTTTTTTTTCTTCTTTTTTTTTCTTTAATAGATACATTGCAATAAATGGTGCACCCATAGTAATTTATAATAATCTGTGTTGAATGGGCTAAACCTTGGCTGTACAGCCACCCAGGCAGCAGCCCCTCACTCCTGTCACTGGCAGCTCAAAGCTTTGCTTTTCCATTCCCAGCAAACTGCTCCTGGGCTGGAGATGGGACGGCACCAGAGCACAGACCCAGCCATCCCAACAGGGCACAGCAAGGCAGTCCCGTGTGTTTTGGGAGGTTCCATCTCAGTGCTGGCCCTCTGAGAGGTTTTTGGGTTCCCTGTAGCGAGGAGGAGTCAGATTTGACACCAAAGGGAGGGTGAAGCCCCACCTGTGGCTGCCCTTCCTGGCTCTGGTCTCTCCAGCCCCACAGCCTGCACCCCTCGGGACCTGGAGCAGCTGCAGTCCCACTCCAGGGGCTGAAGGCTGGAGAGAGGAACCACAGCTCCACGGGGAATTGCCTGAGAAAGGCTCTGGGGGCAGAATGGCTGCTTTAGACACACGTGGTCTGACTGATCTTACACAGGAGGCACCAGAAGGAGCAGAAACCTCTGCCTTGCCTGAGGAGCAGCCCAAGAGGAACAGAATCCAGGAAGGGCAGCACCAAGGAGCCAGCAGGAGCCCCAGGACGTGTCACCTCCGTGGCAGACAGACACCAGCTGTGTCCAGGCACGGCCTCGGTCTCCTCCCCAGCTGGGATGTGCTGCTTGCTCTTCATCAGCGCTCTGCCTCGGCTGCTTCGCACGCGTTGGTGTTGGGTGGACGTGGGGAGCCCTTCCTTGGGGATCCTGCCAGCACCACGGTGTTTTCATTCCCTCTGTGTCCAGGCTTGCTGCTGAGCTCTGATGGGAGGCTGCTCTAACACTGAGGAAGTCCTACCAAGCACCTCAATCAGCTCAGAACAAAAAGCAGAGACCCTGCAGCCTCCATTTTATCCCTGGTGTGCTACTAAACACCTGAAAACTTCAATATCTGGGGGGGAAAAAAAGTTTTTGGGAAAAATCAATCTTTGAAAAATATGTCAATTAAACAAAGAGAAAAGCCTGATGTGCTGTTTCGCTTAGGAATGGACCAGAAGAGACAGCTTGCCTGGCCTTGCTGGGCCAGCTGAGAGGAGTTGGATGCTCCTTCACCTCCACCTCAAATCCTTCTGCACCCCCAGTCTCAGGGAGGTTTGCTCGGGGTGCAGCACCAGGAGCTGTGGAGGTCACAGGGGAGGCTCAGTCTCCAGGTGGTGCTGAGGTGTCCCCAGCAGGCTCAGCAGGGTGTGGTGGGCACAGAGCCCCTGGCAGCCAGGGCCACCCCTCCATCCTGCCTGCACCAGCAAGAAGGAAGGGCTCGGGTTTGGAGTGGGACTCAGGAGCTCAGGGCATGGGGCTGGGCTGTGCCACAGGAGCAAGCAGCAGGGCTGGGGACAGCAGGAACACCAGAAACACTGGCCAGGACTCACAGCCATCAGCTGGTGGCCCACTCAAGCAGCTGCAGCCTCTGTGGATGGCACTGGGTGAAGGCAAAGCAAAGCCAGTGGGTGGTGAGCACTGTGCACTATAAACCAGGTCAACAAGCAGGTTAAATTCAATCAAGTAGTTTAATAATTCTTCAGGTCAAAGGTCTTATCTTACCAGGTAACAATTTACAGGACACCTAGTTAAGAGTGAAGAGTGGCTGGCTTGGTAAAAGGAGGAAGAATACATTATGTCCCATCTCAATAGTTTAATGTTAGCCTCTTTCAACGCAACATATTTTTGGTAAAGACATATTCACTATATTTAACATGATCTCTCTTTAACAGGAAGTTCAGCTGAGCACACTGTCCCCAGAAAGTACACTGCGACTGTAAAGCAACAGAATTTCATAGCAGTAAATCTATTGCACTTTGTGAAGAATAAAATTCTCCTTTGCCTTTCCAGCTCCAGAAGGCAAAGCATCTCGTTGGTTAAGCAAGTTCTTCTCCCTCCAGGCAAAGTCTCTTAATGTTCAGACAGACAACGCCTAACTTTTGTTTGTTTGCTTTTTATTATTACTTGAAACAACAATCGGAAGAGTTTGAGAGAAAAATCTTTCCAGTAGCTGCTGAGGAGTCTCCAAGTTTTGAGTCTAGAAATGAATTTTAGGTGCTATCCAATCACAGTCAACAAATATATGTACTTATTTCCACATTTCATGAATATGTCCACAAAAGAGCAAGATGAGGTCTCTCTGTGACCAACACTAACACTGTGTGATCAGGTATTACAGGGATGCACTTTATATGTGACAACAGTATACAGACAGGATGGAAATAACACCAATATTATTGCACATGGTGTCTGGGCGAGCATTAAAAACACTGCAATATGTGATGAAAATTCTTTACAGCTTGTTTTCTCTCAGCCCTTTTTCTAGAGTTTGATGTAGCAGCAGTATCAATCCACGTACATTGGAGAGCTGGGAGTTGCTGGCATTTGATCCAGGATTTTACAAACATAGCATGCAACATCCACTGTGCGTTCCTCATACATCAGGATGAAGGGATGTTTCTGGAAGCAGATAAAAAAACAACAAAGTTATGGTCACCCTCCTGGCATGTGCCCCTCAGATAAAAACTGGGCAGGGGGATTTGTCTGGTGCAAGAAAATGCTTTGTGGTGGCTGTAGGGCACCAGGACACAGCCTGGTCCATGGCTTTTCCATGCTGGGAATCCGTGTCTTTAACATGGGAGGTTACTGAGGCAGGACAGGGCTCCAGAGTGTCAGGAGCTGCCAGGCAGGAGGCAGGGAGGGTGCAGGATCAGCAGCTCCTCTGCAGCACTGACACTTCCTGAAATCCTTTCAGGAGATGTTTCATCAGCATTGTCACAGTGGGGACAGTGACAGGGAGTGCCTTGCAGAGGTCAGACTCAAGCTCTGCTCTCCTGAGCCCACACCCTGTGCTCTGCAGGCAGGCAGCACTGGCCAGAGCCAGGTCAGAGCAGCTGGGACACAGCATCAGGGAGGTCCTGGGCCAGGACATCAGGTAAATCCCTCTCACATCAGCTGATGTGAAACCCCAGGGCTGACTGTGGAACCACAGCCTCTAAGAGGTGCCCTCCAGGTGCCCAGAGCTCCTTGAAGTTGCCTCATGTCACTGATCCAAGCCAAAGGCATTGCTGCTCTCTCTCCTTTAGCATCCCCACCACAGACAGGCCCTGCTGCTGCCCAGCTCCAGGGCTCTGCTCCTTCAGATCTCACTTCTGCCTGAGCCCAGCACCCTGTGAGCTGTGTGTTGGAAGCATTGAAAGATGCAGCACTGAGAACTCACCAGAAGCTCTTTGTACTTTGGCCTTTTGGACTCGTCCTTTGTAAGGCTAAAGAAAGCAAAAAGATAATTAGGAGAACGTGGGATCAGGCAAAATGCTACAGACATCAAATACAAATTTAACAGGACATGATGCTGTCAGAGGGAGACACACCACCTTTGGTTTTCTGGAAAACCCATCCTTGCACTGTGAGTGACCACAGGAGTAACCCCCATCCCTCCCTTTCCCAGCTGTGCAGGCAGGGGCTGTGTCTGTGTCTGACACAAACTTCCTGCCATGGAAACTTCCCTCCTTACCATGCCTCCTCTCTCTAGCACAGCCTCTCCGAGGTTTTCTCCTAATTTCTTTCCTGAAGAGCAGTTTCCAGGCTCTGCCCTTCAGTCCCAACCCACACAAATCCCCCATCACCTCCAAACCACTAAAATGTGAGAGGTCCTCCCCTGTGCTGGTGCAGGAATGTGAAAAGAAGCCAGAAGTGCTGGACACATAACCCTTGCCAAATAGCAGCCAAGAAAAGGAGCCAACCCCAGTGCTTTCAGCAGCACACACTTACCACAAGTTGACGAAGTTGATGAAACTTGGGGAAAACTCCCTTTCCTCTGAGTTACTCAGCTGTGGTGGGTCTCCTTTCACTACTTGTGTCAACTGGTCAAACACACTGTTCCACTTGGGGTAGGGGAATCGCCCCGTGGCCAGCTCGTACTGCAGGGAGACAGCAACAGCACCAGGCAGCTTTACAGCAGGGAAAAAAAATGTCTGCAGCAACCTTGGATCCCCCCAGAAGGAAGACTGAGATGACATTCTTCGTCCTATTCCCTGTATGATTCTAAGTAGAGGGAAGGTTTTAGCCAGCAGTAAGTTCTGCTGCCTGTGTGAGGGGCATGGCCAGATTTACCCTGACCAGGCTTCTGTGCTGGCCATGTCTGCTTTTCCACTGACTACAAACCAAACCAGTGTGGGAGAGTAAAATCCTCCAGTCCCTCCTCAAGCATCCTAACAAGCACTAGAGAAAATGGATAATGAGAATGACACAATCACATGATATCTCAGGCTGGAGAGGACCCACAAGGATCCCTGAATCCAACTCCAGGATAATGAAAGTTAGTTATTTTAAACATAAGTAGTGATAACAGAAGCTACTGGTTCATACTAAATTGCTTCTGCTTTCTCTTCTGCCTCACAACCTGAAGAAAGTAAGGGCTACTCACTGAGAGCTTCTCAGTGTGTGCAGCTAGCAGTGCTGTGGTTAAGCCAGTGAGGAATGACAATCCCAGAATCCAAGATGAACCAAAGTCTCTGAGCAGCCAAAGCACAGCAGCTGCCAGAGGCTTATTCACACAGGCTGGGTGCTCTGCTCTGCACCACCACACTCAGCACCCTCATCTCAGATTCTGCACACAAAATTCATTTACAACCCAACACCTCTTCCCTGCTCACATCCAAACACAGCTGCGGGGGCTCAGAACCACTGACACAGAAAGCACCCAGGTTGTTCCTGGGGCAGGCAGTGCCCACTGGAAGCAGAGCACACCCAGGAGCTGGGCAGTGCTGCCCACGTGCCCAGAGCAGTGCTCACTCACTCTGGCTAGCTTTAAGTCCCAGCTGGACACGTTGAGGCAAGCCCAGGCACGTCCTGTTCAGCAACATTGGTATATTCTAATATTTTGGTGCCCCACATTGGGCTCCAAAATATTAGACTATACCAATATCACTGAACGGGACGTGCCTTGGCTTGTGTGGCCCCTGCTGCTGAACCAAATAACAGCGACTGTGGTGTTTCACCCCAGAGACACCTTGGCTAGCTGTGGGTCACAGCTGGGCACGCTGGGGCAGTCCAGGCATGCCAGAGCTCCAGTGAAGGTGGGATGAGCTTCCTCTCATAGAGGGACACTCCCCAGGCTTCCCTGTGCTGGAGAAGCTTTAAGGCAATGGTGAAGGAAGGAGTCAGTTCTGATGGAGGGTTTTAAAACAGGGATTTTATTCTGGCCCACAGGCACCTGAATCTAGCAACAGCTCCAACAGAACTCCCAGTGTGTGATCTGCTCACCCTTTTACCTGGGGGAGAAGGGGGAAGGAGGGAATACAGGGACCACCAACCAGGTATGGGGGAGGAGATCTCCAGGGAAAAGGACATATGGATGATCCAAAGCCTCCCCAAAGGTGGAGGGCATCTTTTGAATCTGCCCAATCACTCGATGCTCTGCTGGAACTCCAGGGTTGATAGACAGTACTCAGAAGTCAGGGTGGAGGAAAGGAGAGGTGACTGACACACCTGGGAGGGAATCCTCAGGGAGAAACCCGGGGTAACTGAGGCAAACCGTGACATCACAAGGCAACAACTCACCAATGTGATGCCCAAGCTCCAGACGTCGGAGCGCACGTCGTAGCCCTGCCGCGAGGCGCTGGGGTCTATCCGCTCCGGCTGAAACGGCAACAAGCACAGTCAGGCTCTGCGCCAGCCAGGAAGCCTCTGCAAAGCTACAGAGAACCCCCAGCCTGGCACAGCGCCAAGCAAAACCTGTGGCCAGGGCAGCCATCCAACCCCAGCAGAGAAACATCCCAAGGAATCACATAAAACACTGATTAAACCACTGATTTTATGGAGGTGTTGTGTAAAAGGTGATCAGAAATGGCAACTTTTCACAGTCCAATGCTTTGGGGTTTTTTCCTTTTGCACAAGCACCTTGAATAATTGTGACTGCCTTATTTAGTTAGTTTTGTTCAACTTTGGGATGTCTTTAGCACAAAGTCTCACTTTCTCTGTTTTGACACCCAAGGGTTTTGATCATAAGAACTGGAATCAACATCTCATCCCACCCTGGGGAGAGAGGCTTAGCAGCATCTACCAGAACTCTTCTCCACAGCCAGCTACTAAGAAACTATTAAAAACAATGTGCTTTAAGAAAAGCTCCTCTGAACAAGGTTTCAGTCATCCCTTGAAGGCAACTATGATGTCACAAGGCTTTAAGACATCCAAAATGTCCTTCATAGAAAGCAATATTGAGCCAGACACAGGTGATTCACACCTAAGAGTAGGTTATCATGAGAGCTGAGCCAGCAAAAAAATCTCTATGCCTTGCATGTCATCTTTATAAGAAACCTCAGTCTGCCTTCTTTAGTTAAAAATATAATAATTAACATGTCAAAAGAAACAGGTTCTCATTCAGTTTTGACTACAACAATAATAAAGATACCTGCACAGCAATAAATTCTAAATTATGGGGTACAGGAAATAGTCTGAAAGCCTTGGTTGCTTTGTAAGCTACATTTTAACACAATTTCATATCAAACACAGCTGCGAAGTGCAGCAGCAGGTGGCCCTGAACCCTACTGAGGACACACATGATGTCTGGAAGCTGCCACCAGGGATGGACCAGTTCAGAACACATCAAATTACAGGGATGCTGGCCTGGCCAGTGACCCACAGGGATGTGCCACAGCAGAGCAAGAGGGACTGGTGGGATGGGTGGCACTGGTGACACACAGCTGGCTGTCTCAGGCACCCATGAGGGGCACCCTGCTCCTGTGAGCAAACAGAACAGGGGTTTGGCCCTAGACCATGGTGGCACAGTTAAAGGGAAAGCAGGACGGACCAAAATAAATCCCATCTAAATACAGAGCAGGAAGAATGCCGAGAATTTTCCATGTGGATCACATGGGAGCAATTAACACCAAGGAAGGAAGAGTCACCATGTCACACTCTGGGGACCTGGAGCGAGGGCTGCAGACAAAGCCTGGCTCAGGCCAGGTGTCCTTCCGATGCCAATGGGGATGCTGGCCTGGCCAGTGCTGTGACCCACAGGGATGTGCCACAGCAGAGCAAGAGGGACTGGTGGGATGGGTGGCACTGGTGACACACAGCTGGCTGTCTCAGGCACCCATGAGGGGCACCCTGCTCCTGTGAGCAAACAGAACAGGGGTTTGGCCCTAGACCATGGTGGCACAGTTAAAGGGAAAGCAGGACGGACCAAAATAAATCCCATCTAAATACAGAGCAGGAAGAATGCCGAGAATTTTCCATGTGGATCACATGGGAGCAATTAACACCAAGGAAGGAAGAGTCACCATGTCACACTCTGGGGACCTGGAGCGAGGGCTGCAGACAAAGCCTGGCTCAGGCCAGGTGTCCTTCCGATGCCAAGAGCAAGCAGGAAAGGAAATGGCTGAGGTGGAGACCCATCCCTGGATGTGCTGATGGGATGAGGACAAGGGATGGATGCATCAGAGAAGGGTACAGGCTGCCATGGGGCTTCTCCTGTTCAGTGCTCACCTGAGCACCAGCATTTTGACTGAAAAATGAGCAGTGGACACCACAGATCCTCCCTCTCTTCCAAACCCCAGCTATACAAACAGCCACACATGGCCTGGTCTCTGCCTGAACCACCTGAACACAAACATCCAGCTGGCCCTGACAGCAATGCCAGCAGTGACTGTCCACCTTCACCAGGGAGAAGTGAGAAGCCACAGTTTGCAGCCAGAGGCTCCAAGCTGGCCTGGGAAAAGGACCTGAGTGACCAAGGATGGAGGTGACACCATCAGACTCCACTCCTGTGGAGGCCTGGAAGGAGCAGGGCAGGGCATCCATCCTCATGATGGCTGGGTCTGCCCCTCCACCCCTGCCTGAACCAAGCCCTTCCAGTGCCACCCTTCCTCTCTGACTGGGCTCACTGGGACATCCAGAAGGCAAAAAGCAGTAATGACACAAAGGCCACCAGCTCCAGGGTGGCACACAGAGCCCACTCCCTGCAGCATCCCCACAGCCAGGGGCAAGGCAGGGAGCACAGCAGCAGCACTCAGGGAGGATGCAGGGCTGGCCAGGAGCTTCACTGCTGGGTGAAAGCTGTGGAACCTCGCTGGAGCAAACCCCCAGCACTGGCACCAGCACAGGGCAGGGCTGAGGAGGGCTCAGAACAGCCCAGGCTGCTCCAGGGGCCAGCAGCTCCCTGGGAACCCAGCCCTGCCTTTCTTTCCTCCAGAGAACACGAGGTACCAACACTCAGAGGCCTTTTCTCACTGTAACAATTGCAGGGGAACTGGAAGCCAAAAGCAAAACAACCTCTCAGCCCCAAGGCTGAGGCACCGCTCGCCGTGACAGCTCTAACAATTTTGGTTCAAGCCCACAGCACTTGCTTGGCAGCTGGACATGGCTCCTGCTGCCTCCTCAGAGCACTCACAGCCAGACTGGCTGACACCCAGTGCCATTGTTACCAACAGCCCCGTGGAGACCAGGCTCCTTCAGGGGCGAGTGCCATGGGGTTGGTGAGCCTTGCAAAATGTGACAATATCATCAGGGAGAAGCATCCAGCAGCCCTAAGGAGAGCCTCTGGCTGAACAGAGCTAATACTCTTGGCCTATTTTGCACTAAAAAAATACTATTTTCCTTTTGAAAGGAGTGTGGCAGCCTGACTCCTTCCCAGGTACATCCAATTTGATCACATCATCCTTTCAGACATCAGCCTCTGTTGGCTTGGAGAAATATCTGGCAGATGTGCCTGCACACTGGGGACATCTCCCCATTTCCCAGGCTCCCTGGTACGTGGAAATGCTCATGTACTTGGAAAGGAGTCACTGAGGCTGCAGAGCAGCAGGGAAGAGGCCAATCGTCTCCCACATCACTTGCCAGCTGCTGGCTGCCCCACAAAACCTGTGCCCTGCCAAGGCTCTGAAAAACACAAACTAAACGGCAACACTTCTGCTCACTTAAAAGTCCACCCAAGACTGGAGCGGCACAAATCACAGAGTGCACGCAGACAGACAGACAGAGAGGAGAAAGGAAAACCAAAGGGCTGTGGAAGCACTGACCCACCCACATCCCAGGGGAAAGGGAGCACTGCAGCTATTTACAGACATCTCAGGAACTGTCATGGCATAACTACACCAACAGCCTGAGCAGAACTGACCACCCACCGTGGCTCAAAGAAAGATCAGTCAGGGCAGACAGGTTTTGCCTTGGACACCACAGTCACAGAAAAGCTATGGCCTGGGCCAGGTGGGAGCCATGCCTTGGAACAGAGATATTTTCCTTTTTTCTACTTGGTGGTAGATAAGAAGAGTTCAGAAAACAGTATTTTTCAGCATACAGAGCCATAAATATGTAACAAAAATTAAAGACAGGCACTAAAATTGAAGTTAAATGAACAGCAGCAGGCACACAGCTCCCTGCACAAGCTACCCTTGGCTCATGTGAGAACAGAGATGTACTTTCAAAGCACCATGAACCACTGAAGTGTTTAAAACCCTCAGACAGCTTCCAAAATCACCACTACAGCTTTTCTCTCTGGGAGGGGGAGGGCAGCAAACAAGCAGGACAGACTCCCAGGAGCCACAACTCAGCCCCAGCAATTTCCACACAGCTGCTCTGCTACTGCTGCTCTCCAGAACCACATTCTCCTGGAATGAAGTTCTGGCACACTTTGGAATTAAAGTGGTTTACAAAAATCACTGTAATTCTGCTCTGCAATAACTCCTGTGACATAATCTTACCAGAGCAAATGGATTTCTTGCAGACCAAGACAAAGCCACACTCTGACAGCCCTGCTCCCCTGGGCAATGGTGTTTTGGAGCTGCTGGAAAGCACAGAGCTCCTCTCCACTCCAGCACCACAGCCCTGGCAACAGCAGAGGAACCCAGCAAAAAACCAGGAATTGGGACACTTTGCCACAGCCTGGACGACACTGCCACAGCAGAGCTCGATCCAGAGCTCAGTTTCATCCAGGAAAAGGGTGTTCATTGTCACATTCATATTTTCTGGAAAAATCCCTTTGCCCAGGATTTCTCTCCTGGGAAGCTGAGAAGCCTCAGAGAAAAAGGAAAACCATATTATCTGATTTGCTTCTCCTGTGTTTTGCTGCTTTGGAATGTGTTTGGAGATTGTTTATCCACAGGTGATTGTTTCATTGGTTTCATGTGAATTGTTTTGACTTATTGGCCACACAGAGCCAAGCTGTGTCAGGGCTCTGGAGAGAGTCACGAGTTTACATTATTAACTTTTAGCCTTCTGTAAGTATCCTTTATGTATTCTTTAGTATAGTTTAGTATGGTGTTCTTTAACATAATATAGTATCATAAAATAATAAATTAGCCTTCTGAGAACATGGAGTCAGGCTCATCATTCCTCCCTGCCACAAGGGCACCCCATAAATACAACAGTTCATCCCCCAGGAACAGGCTGACCCCAGGGAGGGTGAGATCCCCCAGGAACAGGCTGACCCCAGGGAGGGTGAGATCCCCCAGGAACAGGCTGACCCCAGGGAGGGTGAGGTCCCCCAAGCCCATCCCACTCACCGCCATGTACGGCCGGCACCCTGCATCCCGCGTTTTGGCAATGGAGTCCACGAGCTGTCCACTAATGCCAAAGTCACAGAGTTTAATATTCCCATTTCTGTCCAGAAGAATATTGGAAGGTTTGATGTCTGCAGGAGGAAGAAATTTAAACCAGTAAGTCACGGCTGGGGGTTTCAGTTTCCAGCAGAGCAGCTGCAGAGGATGAGGCCGGCAGTGCCACGCCGTCGCCGTCACCCTTGGCGCTGGATCCTGCATGGGAGCACGAGGGGATGGAGCCAGCCCCGGAGATGCCACGTGCCCAGAGGCAGCAGCAGATGCCCAGCCACCCTGAAATCACACCTACATGGAAAAAGCACAGGTTGAAGGGGCAACAGAACAGGCACTGAGATGCTTGTTCGAAACCTGCGCTCAGACTCACGGTGGTACAGGTGCTGTGTTTACACTTGGAGTGAACCAAAGGCCACTAACAATTCTTGCAATTATTTTAACAGACAAGAACAAAAGACATGAAGTTAAAAAAACACACAAAGAACTCACCTCTGTGAATGATTTTCAAGTTTTCTTTTAAGTGGTTTAGTGCTTTCACAGTCTAGGAAAGAAAAACAGATGAAAAATAAGCAGATGTCGTAAGAGTCCTATGATTATTAAATTTTTGGAACTCCACAAACAGGGGTAAAAAGCATTTAATACACTGAGATATCAATGCTGTAATATGCCACGTAATAAAACATTTTTCTCTGAATCTTTTCTGCAAACAAGAGGTGATATAAGAGAGGGTATGGGCTAAAGTGAACACACATTCCCTGTGACCTGCAAAGATCCCACTCTGGGAGAGGGGAGCAAGAGGTGGAGCCAGAACCACCTGATGTTAATTATCCTCAGTAATAACTTATTTCAAGCCCTATGCTGTATTTTTTCAGCAGGTCACAACTGTTTCAATGACCTGACTTTTCACTAGGCTAGAACTTCCAGGTTATATCAGGAAAACATCAGCCAGGTTCTCCAGTGCTTTTGGGAGCCTTTGCACAAGACTGCCAAAGCATCTCTGGTCTGGGCTGGCACCTGTGCTGCTGGTGCTCACATTCAAGCAGACAGAGCAGGAAGATGGTCCTGGGGTCTGTTTATGAACTGATTCCTGACCCCAGGAGCTCTGTTTACACCATGCAACACACTGTGGAAAAGTCATGATCACCCCGAAGAACCATTCCCAGTGTGGTGCAAACAGCAGCAGCAATTCTGCTCCACAGACCAACCAGCTTTTCACATGGACTGTGATCTGAACAAGGATCTGAACTTTTCAATTATCTTCAACAAAAAAGTTTTAACAAAATACTCACAGCTAAAGTGATTTTGCCTAAGATTTCTTCTGGAATAACATCATCTAATACACTATATACATATTTGTAAAACTTATCAAACGAGGTAGACATGAGCTCCATACAGATCCAACAGTCACCCTGGAAAGAGAAAAAAATGTGTGTTACTGTTGAGGTAAAAATGAGAAATACAAATCCAGAGAGCATACAGAGATCCACTGAATCCTATGAAATACATAAAAAGCAACATGCATTCTGCAGAAAGGTTGGAATTCAGCTTGATTAGTTTTAGCAATGAAAGACTTGCTCCAATTCACAGCAGAGCCATTTACCTGCCCAGCTCACACCTGACATTACAGTTTAGTTGGCTGAACCCAGATGAATCCAAGCCTCACACAGTGTTTTGCTCTCCAGAAGGCTGCAGGCACAGTGGAACACCCAGGAAAGGGGAGCTGCTTTCCTAGGAAGGGCTGTGTGGCTGGGGAAGAAGGCTTTGGTTTACAGCCATGGGCAGCTCCAGCTTACACTGCTCATGTGGCATCAGGCTCTTCACATCAGCTCAAGGCACAGCAGGAGCTGAGGTCATCTACTCAAGGGCTGCTACAAGCCTGAGCCCAGAAAACTCTCACTGCACCCCAAAAAAGCAGAGGATGGAATAAGTGTTGTGACAGACTTGGAAGCAGGGACATCACAGTGAGAGGCCAGAGCTGCACAGCAGGATGAGGGCATGACCAGCACACTTCAGGGGGACCTGGAAAAAGGTGAACCTGGGCTGCTACAGATCACAGGTTGGCTAGGGAGGAAGTTGGCTAAGGAACTGTTCATATTTAAAGTACAGAAATGAAATTGGGCAATACATGTAGAAAATGTCTCTTTTCTGCATTAGCAACAAAGGCAAAGTGCAGATGAAGCACTTGCATATGACGGAGAGTGGCTCAGGGCAAGCAGTGTGGCTCCAGTGGCAGTGGCAAAGCATCACCAGCAGGTGGAGGGAGGTGATCCTTCCCCTCCATGCAGCAATGGTGATGCACACCTGGAGTGCTGTGACCAGTGCTGGGCTCCCCGTGCAAGAGAGACTCCAGCAAAGGGCAGCTAAGATGACTGAGGAACAGGAGCATCCTCCCATGAGAAAGGCTGATAAAGACAGGACTGCTCAGCCTGGAGAAGGTCCAGGGGAACCTCATCAGCCTAAAGGGAAGCTGCACAGGGATGGAGCCAGGCTTGCTCAGTGGTGCTGAGCAACACGAGCAGGACACACAGGAGGTTCCCTCTGAGCACGAGGAAACACTTTTTGTGAGGGGGATTAATCACTGGCACAGGCTGCCCCAGGAGACTGCAGAGAGTCTATCCTTGGAGAGATTCAAAAGCTATTTGGACACAATCCTGGTCAAGTGGCCTTGCTTGATCGTGGGGGTTGGAAAGGGTGACCTCAGGGGTCCCTGCCAACAGCCACCACTCTGATGGATTTGCACTGAAGTAATGGAAAAGAGGCAAGGGCTCCATGTCTGTCCCCCTACACTGTGGCAGCTTCAACAGAGCAATTACAGGAGAAGGGATAATCCAAGTCTGCAGAGGAGGAAGGAGAAGCAGCAGTCACATTTCAACATTCATCTTCTCCAAAATTCCTGTTGCAAAGGGACCAAAGGCTTGCTCAGAAGTGCCCAGACACCTGGGTCTCCTGGCTAAACACCCTTGAGTAAAAGTGGAGAACCAAGAAACCTAACTTAAATCAATTTTCTCCTCCCTAGCACGAGTTTGAAATGACAAAGGGATAAAAAACAAGGTAAAACCCAAACTCTGCTTCAAGTGAAACAAGTCTGGGGTGCCCACCTCTCTGAAGAGTGCGCCATAAAACTGAACAATGTATGGGCAGTCACTGCTTCTCATCACTACATCAAGGTCCATCAGAAGCTGCTTCTGCTCCTTCTCATCCACTGTCGACCGAATTCTCTGAAAGAGGAAGAGTGGCAAAGACTTCATCACTTCCATGCCATTACTGCATCCTCAGCCCTGCTGGTGGAGACAAGTGACCAGAGCCCCAAACCCAAGCATGCTCAAAAACACTCTGGAGAATCAAGCAGTGCTCTCAAATAAGAAATGTAATTGAACACTTCCAAGCTGCTTAATCAGACTATAAAGCTCTCAATCCTCACATAAGCATCAACACTTTCAGATGAAATGTCAGGAAGAAATTAAAGAGCTGAAATTTTATTGAAAACTACAGCAAAATATCAAATCCAGGCTTTCATTTCAAAACAAATTCCCACACAGTTCTTAGACATGTCGGAAGGGGCTTGAAGACTGGTTTGAAATTTAACCAAGGAACATTATGTTTAAAATTTCTAAGAAGTCAAAAAAGCTCCTTCCACAGCCTCCACCACGGCTGGGGAGAAAGGACTGCCACATAACCCAGGGAACACATTTCTCTGGTAATGTTAATGATGGGCAGCAGTCCTGTGAGCTCTTCTCATAAAACTAACAATCCTTTACCTAGCACTGGCTGAGGGAACATCAACACTGTATAAAAGATCGTTTTTTATATGGACACATACCCCATGTGTATATAGAGATATATATGTATACACACACTATACTTTATATATACACTATATACTATGGAAAGTTTTATTTGGGCTTGAAAGAACAATGCACATTTGAAAACAGAAAACTGTTCATTTTCAATCATGAAACTGGTTAAATGAAGGGTGTAAATGACCATACAGTTTTTCATGTGATTTTACAGATATATTTAACATCTTGCACTAATTAATACATTCTCTGAATCACAAGTGAGGAAATCGTGATCCTGAAGCTGTGACTCATGTTGAAAAACCATTAAAAAAACCAAGAAAAAATATCTGGCAAAAAGTCCAAAGCAACAGAGGTAGCCAGGACCATCTTCAGGAACAAAAACTACACGGCTGCCCAAGAAAGAATAATTATTCAAGCTTGTGGGAAAAATCTGCAAGATACTAGCACCCATTTCACCAATTCTATGGCCCCGTGGGCAACTGCTGGTGGCATCAGGACCACACACATCAGCCAGCCCAGGCCAGGTGAATGAAGACACTTTCAAGGCTGGCCATTCATATGGCACCACAGGGCACCATTATGTACTTTAGGACTTATTTTGTGATGACCCATACAAAACAAGGACAGTATCAACACTGTAATTTAGTACTTTCAAGGCTGGCCATTCATACAGCACCATATGTGAAACAGTGCACCCTTATGTACTTTAGGACTTATTTTGTGATGACCCATACAAAACAAGGACAGTATCAACACTGTAATTTTCCTTACCTGTAGTGTATCCTGGTATTTTGGTATTTAACCACTTGTTCTTAATGTTCTAGCACTTCTAGTTTGGTCTAGACCAGTAAATAATATGTTTATATTGCCCTTTTCCCACCCTGTGAATTCTAGAGTTCTTGGGGACCTGTCAGGAGACTTTCCAGCACACACAGTCCATAATATCCATGATGTGCTGAGCACGTGGGTTCTGTGCCACCAACAGAGCAAGAAGCAGCTCAACGGGCCAGGAATGGAACTAAAACACTTCACCTCCAGGTCACTGGTTCAGGTCTGTGTCACAAGCTCAGCCAGCCACTGGCTGATTCCTGCTCTTGTGCCCTCTCTGTACAAAGCTCTGCAATCCCCCGAGAGGCTGAAGGCCGAGCAGAGTGAATGCCTCTCTCCAAGGGACACACCAGCAGCACTGTGTGAAATGGAAATGCCACTGCTCTCACCTCCACACAAGGTGATGGATGCCAAAGCCACCACCAAAGCCACCTGTGACCAACAGCTCAGCCTCCCACTGAGACATGACCCACACTGAAAAGGTCCCTTCTGGTGAGGAACCAGAAGGAGCTTTTCTCCATATCCTAACTTGTGTTCTCCTTCAGTGCCCATGTCTGTCTCCAAAAAGCCTCTTTCCTGGTCCTCTGAGAGTTGTCCCAGCCCTGCTCTGCACTCCCCTTGCACCTGCACAGTCCTGTCACAGACACAGCATCCTCCTCAAAGTCAACCTGTTCTCCTGAAAGCACCTTCTCCCACCTCTGACATTCCCCCTGTGCTGCTGCTTCTCCAGCACTGGAAACCATGTGAAATACACCCTGTGTGGTGGAGGTGATTTTAATGGCACTCCAGAACAACACTGAACCCAAACACTCCCCTTGTCAAACACGAGCTCCCAGCAAGAAGGGGCTGGCAGAGCACCCAGAGCACAGACAGTGGGTCAGCTACAGCCAGAGGACAGCTTGAGAAGCCAGCGTGGACACTACAACAAATACTGCTGCAGGGAGCGAAAGAAATGCTGTGATACAAGATTGGGAGGTCTCATCCAACACTGCTGGAGACTGGCAAAGTCAAGAGAAAGGAAGAACTCCGAGAGCAGCATGCAGCACAGCACACAGACAGGGTCAGCCCAGGCTGCACGGGGTGGCTCTGCTCGGCTGCATGTGCCTGCTGCAGCCCAGTACTCCCAGTTCAGAACAGGGAAGAGAGGAGAGCCAACAGCAGCCAGTACCCAAACAGCACCTGAGCCATGAGACAGCCTCTCTCCTAAACCCAAGGCATGGTGCAAAGCTCCCACAGACACACTCCCCGAGAACCTGGGGCATGGCAGGGAAGGAAGACACGAGGTGAGGCAGCTGCTTGAAGGCAGCATTTCAGACAGGGATGGACAGGGGCTGACTTCACTTCAGGCCTTACAGATCTCAGCCCAGCCACCTTCCTGGAAGCCACTGATAAGTCACTGCTAAGTGACCCCACAGCCAAACAAGCCACAGATAGAAAAAGGGGGATTTGTAATAGAAGCTTATGGGGGTCTCCTTTTTAACAATTCTTTGTTGGCCTCCAATTTAAACTGTATCAAATCCTCTTAGGAGAAATTTTCCAGCCCTTTTTATTCAAACACAGGTTAGGACAAAGCCTTCCAACACCAGGAAGAAGAGCTCTGAAGCCATGCTCTGAGCAGCATCAACAGCAAAAGCAGTCTGTGCTGTGGATTGTGCCACCCTGAAACCTAAAACCAGGCAGATTCCAGAAACTTGACCCGAAACAGAAGAGACATCATCCAGCCCCATGCTGCACACACAAAGGTTCAGGTGCACCATGAAGTGACTGGCTGAAAAAAAAAAAAAAATCTAAAAAAAAAGGAAACAAAAAAAAAAGCTGCAAACACTAAACTGAAACTCAACTCCTTGAGCTGTGAGACAATCCAGAACTGCCCTGAGAACAGGGGCTCACCTGTGTCCTCAGCAGAAAGCTCAGCACAGCAGTGCCTGGCAGTGCCATGGGAGAAGTGGGCCTTCCATGGGATGGCAGGGATTTGGGACAACAAGCCAGCAGCAAAAAGAGGGTTTGCCCAGTCACTGCTGAAGACGGGAATTCTATCTCCCCATCTGAAAAACATTTAATGCTGACTGAAGTAGATTACAACGAGCTTCCCACCTCCTGTGATGAGGCTCTAACTCTCTCTCACCATTCCTTTCCAGCTCTTACTCATCCACTCCCTCCCCAGCTGCCCTGCCAGCAGGACTGGGAACACTGGTTTCCCCAACTCTCAGCCAGCAGACCTAAACAAATGACTGAAACAGAAAATTCTGAAGGTGTCGGTCAATTGTGTGAAGAATTACAATGAGGGTTTGGCAATAAAACCCCAAGACTTCTCTTTGGAAGTCATATGGACATGGAAAGGAAGAGAAATTTGCCCCTGGATGGAGCTAAATCTACTAATGTATCATTCTGATGGGTCTTTATGGGCTATCAGGCATCTAGGAAAGGATGGAGGGACCATGGAGGTATAAATAAATGTTACATTTCTGCTCTCAGGAGCATTTGATACACAGCAACCTCCTTAAGCTGTGAGACTGCCATTGAGAAACCTGAGAAAGTCAGACGGGAACTTCTGGTTTGAAGATGTGGATGAAGAGAACAAGCCCTGACTACCAAAATGATGTACAAGAGACACCGTGCTCAGAACAAGAAACAGCTCCAGGGCTTATTGGCTTCCCCAGGAAGAACAGGGATCTTTTATGGGCCCATGGATTTGACACTTCCAATTACCCAATTGATCTTGAAAATGCTTCTGATTTCCTTAGGAAAAGTTTAGAGAAGAAGTAAAGCACATCAAAAATATTGTTAAACTAAAGAGAAAACACTGACTGTAGAGGACACTGACTGTAAGTGGAGGCTGGACTTGGCAATGCTGCAGTGGCACTAAGTCACCCAGGCTGAGGATATTGGAAGACACAGACAATTCTGGCCTACAGGTGAAAATCACTTTCTTCTGAGGTGGAGGAAAATGGAATACTGTGGATAAAACCACCCTGTTCTCCACCTGGGTTACTCTCCCAGCTGTAACCATTCCTGACAGAAAAATAATTCAATTAAAAAGAAGTGCAAGATGCTTCCATGGGGCAGTGATAAGAAGCCTGAAGGCCAAGCAAAACATCTCAAACAAGCAGCTTTCCCAGCCTTCCAGAGGCATTGTGAAGTACCCTGGCTAATAGAATCCACACCATGTACAGCATTTCAGTGCAAAGCAGGGCATCCTGCTCTACCTGGAAGAATGCTCCCCAGCTTTCACTCCAGTTTGGGCTATTTTTTTTTTAAATTCATATTCCAGGGATCTTTTAAAGCATTCTTTTTGTGTGAACTATCACCAGGGCCAAAAGGAAACCTCAGGCCAGAAATTACAAGACCCAGCAGCTGGGCGAGTTTCCTAAGAAAACATTTCCTCCAAATAAATGGGGCTTCTCTATGTGCCCCTAATTTGTGGTACCCTCACAGAACAAGAGGCACAGACCCTGGAGCAGTTGGGACAACACCACTCTGGAGGGCAAATACAAAAAGGGCTGGAGAATTGCATCTGTGGAGCCTCTCAGACAAAAGCAGGACAGCACTGGAGCAGATCCTGAGGAGGAACCAGGGCTCTCAGTGCAGTGGGAAAACCAAGAAAAATGGTCACAAGTCACTTATGGACTGCCACAGAGTGGGAAAAACCTGACTAACACAAAAACAAGAAACCAGAAGCAAAAATCAAAGTGGATAGAACTGGAAACCTGACCAGGCAAGATCACCAAGAGCTGGTGCAGCAGACACACACCAGCCAGGAAAAGAGATTTCTCCCAGGAAATGAGACTTGACAAGGTGAGGATTCAACATATAAAATGGCCTTGGATTTATTGGTTTGCATAGCCAGATCTGGCACTGGAGAAAACTGGGCTGTTCTCTTTCCCACCTGGAAAAGTCTTGACTTTATATGCCAAAAAAATCCTTAAGAAAATGAAAAGTGTATTTTCAGCGACAAGAAGACTGTGCTGGCAGTTGACCCAGAGTAAAAAGGTGCATCTCCAGGAAGATCTGAAAGGAAACGACCTAAAGAATGAAAGGATTGGTTTTTATTCAGAAATAAAAATTTAGATGATTAGGAAAATATAATGCAATATTTTCTAGGGGCAAACATGAGATGTTGATTTTGATCCCTCTTTCCTTCATCCTCTCCCCCTGCTCCTGATAGCTCTCTCTGCAGGTCTCTTGTGCAGAAAGCGTAAGGGGTGCACAAACAATTGCAGGTGACAGCAACAGGAGGACCAGGTCCCTGCTCCTGCAGCCCACTCCAGCCTCCAGCCTGTTCCCAAAGAGGTACAGAATGTCTTTTTGTCATTGAAACCAGTATTCACAGAGAATGAGCAAGGCTAAAGGAGCGAGAGGAGCAGCACAGGGCACAAGAGCTCATCATCCCAGCCATGCTCCACCTGCTGAAGCTTTGCTGTAGTCCTTTTAGCCAGTGACACAATGAGGCTCATTTCAGGATCATTTTCCTCCTCTTCTACTGATTCTGGAGCACAAATGGAAAGCCTGACTCACCCAGGGCCTGGCAGCCCTGCCCATTCCAGGAGACTCATTAAAGGTACCAGGATTGCATCTGTCAGGACAGAAATTACAGCCATCAGCATGGGCTGACAGTTCAAAATGAGTTACAGGGAAAAATGAAAGAAAACAGTGTCTCCACCTGCAGATCTCAAGTTATTTTGGTGATATTGTAGCCCTCGGGAATTGTTTTCCTTCAGTGGTAAGAAAAACTGAGTATGCAGCTAAAAAAGGCTGTGCTGGAGGAGCCTGTGTGCCCTGCAACACCGAACTTTCCCAAGCAGGGGAAAGCTTGGGAAGCTTTAAGGAACTGCTCCTTGGGCAAAGGCAGGACAGGCTACACAAAGCAAGAGAAAGGAGCTGGGTACAGGGTTTGAAGATGTGCCCTGGCAGCTGCACCCTTTCAGGGGAGCAGGATGAGTGACCAGAGGTGCCCAGCTGGAGCTGCCTTCAACCAGAGGAAGACTCCAGCAAGGGGAAATGAGCAATGTTTCAAGCTGCACACTTGCAGAACAAGGAGGATTTGAATCTCCCTGTGGTAGAATGGGGTGACAAGCCTGGTCACAGCCCTTCCAGAAGTGGGGTAGGAATCTCCTGACCACACTGGGAATTTGCAGCCAACAGTAGTGGAAATTTGGGGAGTGGTGGAGAAGGATGGAGGAGCAGTTGGGACAGACCCCTGTACCAATTTTCTCTGCATCTAGTGAGCAGTACAGAACAGCTAACTTTTGTCTTGCAGCTTCCATAAAGCTGTTTCCTTGTGCTGGATGTCCTTCCAAGGATGCCTGGCCTGCTGCACTGGTGCTGCTCCTGGGGAAGCACAGGAACAACAGCAGCTCAAGCAAATAACCAGACACTGCTCCACTGTAAGGGACCCTGTCACCTGCCCCCAGCACAGTGCCACACCTCAGAGCTGCAGGTGCCACAGAGATCATAGCCAAGACCTCACTAAACTGACACATTTTCATAAAGCACAATTTCCCTTCATAATTTCCCTTCTCAACCTCCTCTTAGAGAAGAGCTTCATGCTGAAGGAGAACACAGGACTGAAGGCAACAGTTCCACAGTGAAGAGACCACAAAGCCTGAGAGAAGGAGAGAGCAGGAGGGGAACAGTCCCCAACATGGACAGATTAAGACAGAGGAGGAGCAGAAGATTAATGCACAGCCATGGCTGCCCCAAAAGCATCAGGAGGCTGAGAAAGGAAAATCTGAGGAGTGTGGGATGAACTAGTCACTAGGCCAAGCTTTGCCCATCCTGAAACTTCATCTCAAAGAACTGCACCATCCAGTCTGGGAATTGCTGCTGCTGCCTTGGAGGCCTCACTGACTGTTCCACCCACAGGTCTTTGCTCAATTTTGCGTTTTGTCCCCACTGGGACAAACAGAGCAGTTGCTTACCACCACTGTTTTAGAAATGATGCTGTTGCCCAAACCTTCGAACCTTTCTTCCCCAGCCATGTCCACCCAAAAGAAATAGGGTCAGAGAAAAGAAGGTGGCACCAGCCCAGCCCACAGCTTTAGCTTTACTCACTATAAACAAATTGGATTTACTTGTTTAAAAGTGAGCCCCCAAGCCCAGAACCCTCGAGGCTCAGAACACATCTCATCCCAGGAAAGCCAGCTCAACATGCTGCACTGTGCCTTCTGCAGCCATGTGCTTCAGGAACACAGAAGTGGTGCCTTCTGCCTCCCACCTGGCTGCACCTGCACCACGGCCCCTCAGCAGTGAAAGGCTCACCTAGGGTGCTGAAAAGCCCTTGTGCAAACAGTGTGGGACAAGAGAAGCCCCGTGCCAGCAGACATCTTCTCCATGACACGAGGTAATCCAGCAAAGTCCTTCTCCACACGGCTGTAGCCACTGCAGAGCTCCAGGAAACAGCCACTCAGCTCTGGGGATGTGCCCCTTTCACACCCTCAGCAAAACTACAGCTACCCAGGTCACACACCCAGAGTCTGAGAAGATGGAGCTGTCCAGGAATCATTTCACTAAAGAGGAATCATTTCACTAAACCAACGTTTTTCAACCTGTCACCTGCAAACTACACCCCTGAGTTCTGCCAAAGGCAACTGAAAGAAACCAGACTTTAGCTACAGGCAACCTCTAGCTCCACTGGAGACTTTCAGGGATTCAAACCCAGCTTGAAACAGCACTGCATGGTGATCAAAAACACTCAAGAGACCTCGCCAGTGATCCCAGCACTGTGAGGAAGTCAGTATTTACTGGAGAAGATCAAAGGATGAGGGTTACTCCAGTAACCTGACACACTAGAAACAGGTAGGAATTACATTCAGAGCAGCTGGGGCTGAGATATGTCTGCTTGGTATGCAAGACCAGCAGGGGCAAATGTCTCCAGATTCCAGGGAATATTCTGAAGAAGGCAGAGAGTTGGAAAAGACAGTAACACAGACTCCTATGCAGCTCACTTCTGCTTTCTCCTGGGAGCCATAAGAGCATTTACAGTTGATATCATCGACAGAGTTAAAGAAAGATGTCATCAGCAACCTGCAGTGAGCAAAGGAAAGGACCAGAGAGACAGAGAACAGCTGCTGCCCACCTCCATGGACAAGCAGCTCCTCAAAGATGCCCAGTGAGCAGCACTGCTGTGGCAAGACAGGCAATTATTGCCCAGCTGGGAGAGGAGGCTGCTCCTGCTTCTAAGGTGAGTTTTGGGGTAGCATAAAGTAGAAAATGGACAGTCAAGAAACCTGCTACACTTTCCACCTCCAGGACAGTCTGACATGATGAGCACAAAGCAGACACTCCATCACACGTCAGAAAGAGCACAACATTCCCTAGAGGACATCCACTCCGTTCCAGCTCCTCCTGGTGAGGCCACACCACGGCACATGCTGACATAAACAGCTAATTTTAAGCCATTACCTTATTTCACAAAATAAGATGGAGCTATGAGATGTCAAGCTGTGCCTACCACCAGCCTAGGCTGTACCTGAACCAGTGACCCAGAGGTGAAAGGCCCGTGCCCCATCATCAGTCTCCAGAGACGTGTGATCCCCTCAGAACAGCAGGCTCCTGATAGACATTTTGAAAAGGGCACAGCAATTATGAGAACTTCACAAATCACCTGAAAACATGCCCATTATACACTGTATTTTCAGCAAACAGCAGCCTTTACACCAGAAATAAATAGAACAGAGCAGTAGATGGGTGCTAGATGGAAGAACCTTAATTCTCCATCACACTGCATCCCAAAGGACTAAAGTACAAATGTAAGGATGGGCATCACCTACTTTAACTGCCATAATTTGCCCACTTGGTTTGTGGACCATTTTGTTGACAGAACCATAAGCGCCTCGTCCAATTTCTCCAAGGTCTTTCAAGTCCTCTGCTGTAAAATCCCAATGTTGCTCAGGGGAAATCTTCAATTTTCCTGATGATTCAATGCTGTGTGTTCTCAGTCTCTCTCTGTCAAAAATATTGGGAAGCAATTTTTCCACATTTTAAATAGTCTTTAAATGTCTCTTTTCAGCACTTGATTAAACATTAGAAGAGAGGGGTTTACAAAGCTACAGCAATAATCTGACTCCACGAAGGATTTTGGTTGGGGTGGGGGTGGAGGGGTGAGGGAAAATGTTAAATCAAAAATGACATACATTTGCCCACAGCTTCAATTAAGGATAAGTTTCTCCAGCTGCAGCATAAAATTCAATATGTCTCATAGAGTCACTCTAAGCACTCATTTACACAGTTCTTTCTACTTTGCACAAAATTCATCATGGTGTGAGCAGGATCTGGTAACATGCAGCACCAAGAGCCTGAAGAGCACTCCCAGCCCCATTTTCCCAAAGCTCCTGCTGCTCTACACCACCACATCCCAGCACCTGCCTCCCCTCCAGCTGGGATTCTATCAAAGGCAAAGCTCTTCTGGGTGAACCAGTGAGACTTTAGGAAAAGCTTGCCCTTATAAAAAAGGAAATAACCCAAAAAACTCCAAAATCCAATACATTTCGATAATCGTTTAATTTATCCAAAACCAAACAAAGCACCAATAATTTATAAAAAACAAAACAAGCTCGTTGTGACATATGAAAACAAAATCTGCCTGTTCAGGTGTGTCTTCACCAAGCACCTAAATTAACTTTCTCAGGCAAACCCTGTCCCTACTGAAGCCACCAGGATTTGCCCAGCTAAGGAGCAGATGAACGTCCAGAATTTATGAACATAGGAGTTCAAAGGTGCCCCCCAATGGCTCATTCACATGCAGCAATGCTACCAATGAATTAGCAGGAAATGCACAAGTATTTGCAACACTTTTCATCGTAAAATGCCATGCAAAATTTCAATTTTTCATTAGTTAATTAGCTGATTCACACTTCTTGAGTCATTAAGTAAGCCAAAAGCTCACATTTTCCACTTTCGAGATGCATTAAGAGCAATGCAGACACTTCCCACTGCAGGGCACACTGATCTCACACATTCTGAAGCACACAAGTCCTTGTGACCCCCCTGTCATAGGAGAGATCTATCAAACCCAGTGGATATTTGATCCAGCCCCCTCTTTCCTGGCCAGGGTCTGGCCCAAGGAGCAGAACACACATGGAGGATTCCACCAAACACATGGAGCTTACTGAGTTTATCAGCCGAGGAATAAACAGGTCACGGCTGATTCCACGCTGATAAATCCCACACTGGTCACCAGCAGCTGCAAACACCACCCAGCTGGGGACCCAACCATGACAGGGTTTTATTGGGATCCCAGGTTTTCAGAGGGCAAAAGGCCAATTGACTGGAGCAGCTACAGTTCAAATGGCTTCCTCTGCTGCACTTTGGGTTAGCAGCTGCACGTCCTGAACCCTCGACCTGTCTGATGAAAGCATTTGGGAGCAGCTCCTCTCCCCACTGCTGGGCTGTGTCTGCCGTGGTGTTTCCTGCTCTCTAACCTGCCCAGCTCAAGATTTCAACCTGCTGTTCCCTACAGTGCCCCTACACTGCACTTAGAAATGATTTGGGAAAGCACCTGCTAGTGGGATGGAATGGATGCCATCTCAGAGCTTCTGTGCACAACAAACCCTGCATTCCGTGGGGTTCTCCCAGGAAACTGCTTACTGAAAAGCAAGGAATTAAAAAAAGCAGCAAAATGACAAAAAAGAAAAGAACAGAGGAAAAAAGATATGGAAAAAAAAATTAGAGGAAACCTGACCTCCAGTGTGCCAAGTGTCTCAGTGACAGCTTCTGTTGGGAGCTCCTGAACTGGCTTTTGTCTAACAGCTCCACCATCCTGTTTTGTCAGTGCCATAAAAATAGTTCTTGTGTGAGGGAGGAAGGGAGGTGAGAAGCACCATGCCAAGGAAGCACAGACAAATGGGCATTTCCTGCCTCACCTCCTGCCAGCTGGTGGGCACGAAGAAGCATGATCTTTGAGAGGTAAATCCTCTTCAAATAGCAGAAGGAAAACAGCAGAGAGGTGAAACACTGAGTTTTCACAGACTGAGCTCCCTTTTCAGCCCTTCCTTGAAAAGAACATTTCCTATCAAATTTCTCATGGAGTTAAAAAATTTAAACATTGAGGCAATTTATTCAAATAAGCAATTAAACCCTTCTCCTCTCTTCCCTCTGCTTTTCAGAGTAGGAAACTTTGCTTTTCTGACCTTACACCAGAAGAGAAAGGAAATTAGAATTCATTATTTCCCTGTCACACAAGCAGCCTGTGTGTCCCCAGCTGTGGTGTGAAAGCAGATCTGGGTCATTGTTCCACAGCTGCAGGATGGTGCCTCGAGCTGCTGGGAAGAAGGTGGGAGCTGGGGAACATCCCCTCCTCCCCAGGGCTGCACCGAGGGCTCTGCTGCTCTCCAGGGCTTTGGATCCAGACAGGCCATGACCATCCACCCCCAAAGCCTCCCCTCCTGGAGCTTGGCTTCATTTCCATTATGTATTTATGATGCCATCTGCCTTGTCTCGCAAGCACAGCTCCTGCTTAGCTCTTCTCAAATACCCAGGGAAATGGTCAAATAACCAAATTACCAGTTTGACAGAGTGACAGATACTTGAATAGGGGTTTTGCTCATTGAGCTGGTTTACCATATGCAAGCAGGCCAGTTTTTCTTTAAGCAGCATGGCCCACCTCAAGAGTTATAACTGGAATGCAATAATTGCTTTTAATGTCAAAAAACTACAATTATAAGAAATTTCTCAGTGTAAATCAAAATCCCAAAGGATTACCATGCCAAAAATGCAAATCTAGAACACAGACCCTACATTGATCTAAACTGGGATTTTTTATATCTAAATCTGAGTGAGGCAATAAAAACTAAATGGCCAGTACAGGACATCTACCTGTATGTTTGTACTGCTGCAGATGTAGGAGGACATAAATCCATAGGGTGGACGTGCCTCCAAATGCAAAAAAGTCTGCCTAAACCCTGCACTACATCCTGGTGCTGTGGATACTACAGCAGCCTGCTTCAGAGAATGGCAGGATAACCACAGAGCCCAGGCTCCAGTGAAGGTAAAAAGTAGTCAGTGCCCAGTCCCTGGGATTAGTGCACATCAGAGTTTGCACAGAAGTCAGCAGACATGTGCCTTCTCCTACCAGTTTGTTTTTAAACTGTGAAATCTAACCTTCTCTAAGGCTGGGAATGTTGGGCAAAATTGGACAATATTCTCCAAATGCCCAGGATGTGTAAGATGGACTTGTGGGGCTTCATATATGATTTAAAAAATAATATAAATAGCTGAAGTGTGCTAGATACTCTTCAAACAGTTAAGAGTAGCATTTCCAAAAGTCATCTTAGAATGACTACTACTCCTGACAACTCATCCAGGGCTTGAGCTTCCAACTCCCCATCTTGCTTTTGAAAACCTTTGAAAAGCCAAGAAAAAAGGGGGCGAGGAGGTGGCTGCCATCCTTGCACTTGAAAGGCACCAATGTGTCAGCCCCGCTGCAGATGGTTACTATGCTTGTCACAGCAGTTATTCCAGGGATTAGGAGCACCAAGCAGGACAACAACTCCTCCAAACAGTTGTCCTTTGTCAGAGCTGTGTCCAGCTTGGCAGGAGGCGGGCGGGCGCTGGCGCCAGGCACCGCCGGCCGGGCACGGCCACGGGGCTGCTCGCCACAAGCTGCACAGCTGGACACACGTGGGAAGGTCTGGCATGGCCACTGGACCCCAAAATCTCCTGTGGAGTCCCACGGACACCTTGTGGAAGTTTCCCGAGCCCTGCTGTTAATAACCAGCTGAAGGGAGGCCACAACTTTTAAAAACAAGGATTTCCTTGGCATGAAAAAGAAAGGATTGCTGAAAGAAGCAGAGAAAAGGTGATGGGGTTTTTTTAAGCAAAATTGAAAGTCAACAGACATGAAGCAAGGCCAAAAAGATGTAGGTAGCTGCCTATCTCCTCTGTTTCACTTTGCTGAGAGCTCTGCAGGACTCCAAGGAGCCCAAAAGCTGGCATATTCGATGGTACAGCTGACATGAATAAAATCTGCAGAAGCAGGAAAATCCAAGCAAACCAGCTGTGCTTCCCAAGCCTGCCTGGTGCTGGACTCTGCTCAGAAGTCTCTCACTAAAGCTCCTATTTTCACTAGGGTTAATGAGAATATATTCTATGTCTCCACATGATTGGTAAAAAGGCTGACATTAAAAAAACTGATTTGTGGTCCCTCAGCCAAAGCTAAAATGTAAATCCTAACAAAAAACTTCCAGGCAAACTGCAGGGTTCAAATGACACTGTGGAACTTCAGAGCACAAACACAGTTTAGGACTGTGGCTGTCCTAGCAAGACTCTCAGACAGCCTGGAGAGATTTTGGAGAGCTTTGTTTCTTCTATCTCAATCTGTGTCATTTCTAAAACCATTTTCAGACCCTGCAGGCCAATGCTAAAACCATATTAACTCTAGTTTGAATTTCACTAGAAAAGGTCTCCAGAAGAAATGCTCCCTTTTTTTTCCTAGAGGGTTGGAAATGTTGGTGCTGTGACAAAGTTTTTGTATTCTCAGAAGAACAAATTATTGCTTTTCATAATCAAACAGCATCCTTGCAAGAGGGGCAGAACTAATTTGGGTTTGCTCTGATCCATGTAAGCTGTCCTGAGGCTTCATTATATTCAGGAATAGATTCCTAGACATGAAGAAGAGATACAGAAAATGTGGCAAAGGAAGGAAATAGTTTTGCACCTGTGACCTACCCAGATTAAATCCCTTTCCTTGTGGCCAAGAGGCTGAAATTCTCCCTAGCACTGCTCTGGGTTTTTAAGCTCCTGCAAAACGTTAAGATAAAGATAACAACAAAAAGTGGAAGATGGCACAGCCCTTCCAGAGTTGCCAAGTCTCAGCCCAGCACGTGCTCAGAGTCTCCCTGGCTTCAATGGGGCTTGACTGAGGCTTTTAAAATGTCAATATTTTGTACTAAGCTCTCCTGTTAAAGTACTGAGTTATAATGGATTTTGATTAACCCTGCCCTTACATG